TGGGAGGTTATCATTACCAGAGAGTGGGGGCAAAGCTTCTGCAGAGGACAGGGAGATATGCTTTATATTGCACTTTCCTCTGAAATTGTCACTTTGTACCACTTACCTTACCAAAACCTGAAGAACTTTACATGCAGATTTACTTCTTTAGTCCAAGGTTCTAACAATTCCACTTTAACTTTTTTGCAGTTCTCGGGACAGTGAGTCTTGATCACTCCAGGTTCTAGGCAGTATTTGACATGAAAAAGTAATGAAGGGCTTTTTTCTCTTTACAATTATTTAACTTACTAGAAATTGAATTTGACTAATTTAAATTCCCTAAATGTAGGAACTTGTTGTGGCATGGGTAGAATGTAACAAGTGTTAATTATGAGTGCTTTAAGTATTAATTTTTGGCCTATCCAACATAAGTTGTAATTGATTTGAAGACAGATTTAAATGGAGGTGAATGGTGTGTGGTTATGAGGTGGTTGATGCAAAGCTTTTAACAGTTCAGAATAAGGATTGGTAGATATCATGAAGGTGAAATAAATGGAAAGTTCTTTTCAGCTGGAAACACACAAACTTCTTGAAAATGTTTCTTTTCAGTAAAAACTTAGAAGTTCTCAAGGTTATCTGAAGAGCCTGTGTCATAATAGCAGTGCAGGCTAGTGAAGAAAATACATAATTTTTAAAATTACACTGTAGAAAAACAGGAGCTTAATTAGGAATGCCTTAAATATTTGCTGTAATGGTTAATAGCGTTGATCAAGGAGAACTTGATCCTAATGCCAATTTAGCTGAGCAGTGTTCTTGTTGGTTTTGCCCTCCTATTGCACAGGGGAGTGAAAATGGGATGTGTTGTAAAGCACTCGGCACATTGTAATATTTGAAACACTGTGGCTGTGAATTGTATTGGAATGGGTGTCAAAATTTGGATGTGGTGATGTGACATGCTTAGTCTGCCTCACTTTACACCCAGATCCCAAAATTGTTAATTTACAAAGTAAGTTGAAGATTGTGCAGCATGAGTTGTGTGGCCATTTTTAGGTATATAGACTGCTTTAAGAAACATTTGAATTATTGTTCAATGCCAAAATTAACGAAATAAACATTTCTGTGAAAAACAACAAATCCCTTTATAACTGGGAATTTTAACAAGACTTGAACAATTTAAAACAACATTTTTTACTTAGCTTATATTTCTTGACTGGGTGCTTGATCTAGGCACTGGGAAAAAAAACCCTGTGCATTTAGTACCAGAGGGCAAGAACTGGAACCACATAAAAGTAATGCTGGAAATTATTTTTTTTCTAGGAAATGTGATGAGGCAGAAGAGAAGTAAATAGATGTGTAGGTGGATGAGAGTAGTGCTGGCTGAACAGCTGGGTTTAGGGTTGGGAAACCCATGGGAACATTGCTAAGAGAGAACTGCTGAGCAAAATGTCATAGAGGGGAACTTGCTTGTCTTTACAGGGAAACAATGAGAAGGCTTAGCAATTCATATATGCTGGGGGAGAGGCAGGAATGCAATTGTGAGGGAATAGGGAGAGAGAAGGTGAAAGCCTCTGAATTGGGATGAAAGACTGGGAGCATGGAAATTGAGAAAGGAATTCAGAGATAATGCTGTTGTGAAGAAATGAGACCAAAAAGAATAAGAAGTGTTGAAATTCAAAGTAAAACTTAGCAGAAGAATCCACCCTCTGTGGTCTTGTTCCTGCTCCATTTATAATGAAACCTAATATTTCTGAACACCTGCTTTCATCAAAGTATCTATCCCATCCCCTGTAATTACTGCTTTTGGTCATCATATAGCTTTAGGAGCTTGTTTAGTGCTGTCAAAAGTGCAATTAGGCTTCTGAGTTGTGCAGGTGTCATGATGACACTTAAAAGTGTTTTAACTTTCTGCTTATAAAAACCCAACCCTGGGGAAATTACTATGGTCAGTGCTAGAGATGAGCTTATTGATGTCAGGAAATGCCCATTATTTCAGAGGGCACAATCTGCTGTTTCCATGGGGCCTTCTTGTGTGCACATATGGATAATTTCTGATGGAAAATCAAATCTCAGTCTGCGTGGTGGAGGCAATGCCACTGATGGATAGAGCTGCCTGACAAGTGCATGGTGCCATGCCTTTGTGTGACAAGGAATGCATGGTTGCGTGACCCTTACCTGTCACTGGCAGTTCAGTTTCTAAGCTGGATGTTAGGCCTATGCTATTTCAGAAAAAAGTGGGATTTGATCAGTGCTGTGGTTTGACTATGCCAGCAGCCTGGTTGAAAGGTGGGGAGTGGGAATGTGCAGCTGGGGTAGGAGGAGGGCGCAAAGCTCTTAGTGGCCACACAGCCTTTACAGACCTGTGCGGACTCACATTGATTGTGAGATCTCAACTATTTTCTCTGAAAAATAAGATGGGAGAGTGCTGGAGAGGGAAAGGTAGTCTCAACAGCTGGGTGTTGCCTACATTGTTTTCTCCACATGTGACTTTACTCCAGAAAAATGGGCATAGCTTTTCATGGGAGGCCAACAGCCTGATGTGGTAATGCTGAGCATTCAAGTCACAAAGGAGCTGCTACGAGTTCTGCTCTAGCAGTAGAAATTTGGATAATCCTCCAAATTAACATGGGCCAAGTGGGTGTCCTTTGCTTGAAATTTTGTTTTTCTTTTCCCATCTTTTTTAATAGGAAGAATGCTCCTATGAGATAAGGAAAGACTATGGAATACCATGTGGTTTAAAGCATTCAATCACTACAGTGTTTTACCCTATTAAAAAAATCATAGAAATATCTGTCTTCTGAACAGGAATTACTGGGCTGCTCTATTATAAAAAAAAAAAGTTTAAACAAAGAATTGAATTGGTTTATATTCTTACATACTGAGCAAGACTGGGGCCAGCCACAGTAATGTGGCTTATGCATTAAGTCCTTTGTTTCAAGAGATTATTTTCAAAAAAATAAAGAAGTTTTCTTAAGAAATCAGAACATAATAAAACCAGAGGTGAATTTTTAAGGAATATCTTCAAGAGTGAAGTGCTTGTCTTTTGCAGTTAAAATAATTTTCCTCCGAGGCAAAGAATTGAATTGGTTTATAAGTGAACATTCTTACAAGACTGGGGCCAGCCACAGTAATGTGGCTTATGCATTAAGTCCTTTGTTTCAAGAGATTATTTTCAAAAAAATAAAGAAGTTTTCTTAAGAAATCAGAACATAATAAAACCAGAGGTGAATTTTTAAGGAATATCTTCAAGAGTGAAGTGCTTGTCTTTTGCAGTTCAAATAATTTTCCTCTGAGTTTTTGTTTGTTTGGTTTGGGGTTTTTTGTGTTGGGTTTTTTAATGTGTGCAGATTATGTCTGCTTTTAAGAGAGACATTTTGAAAAATCTTAAAGTAATAAGAAAACTTTTTTTCTTTGATTTTATTTATTTTTTTTTCAATTAAAAAAAAAAACGGCAAACTGACCTGATTTTTGCTCTGTCCAGCAATTCTGTATATAAAAATCTACAGCTAAGATGCCATACAGCTCTGCACTCACCAAATACCATCTCAGGCAAAACAGACTGAACTTGGGGATAATGAGTTAATTTACTACAAAAAAAATCAGAGCAGGATAAGAAGTAAAATAAATCTTAAAAACCCCTTCCCACCAATCATCCCTCCATCTCAGGCTCTACCTTCTCCCCTGCAGTGGCACAGGGAGACAGGGAATGGGGATTTTGGTCAGTTTGCCACAGGTTGTTTCTCCTACTGCTCAGGGAGAGGTGTCCTTCCCCTGCTCCACCATGGGGTCCCTCCCACAGGAGACAGTTCTCCACAAATTTCTTCAATGGGCTTCCTACAGGCCACAGTTCTTCACAAATTCCTGCAATATGGATCACTTTTCCCTGAGGTGCAGTCCTTCAGGGTCACAAGTTCTACCAGCAAACTGCTCCAGTGTGGGTTTCTCTCTTCATGGGTCTGCATTTCCCTGCCAGGAGCCTTTTCCACCCCTGGCTTCTCATCAATTCACAAACTCCTTTCAAGCATCCCTGCTCTGGCATGGGATCCTCCACAGGCTGCCGGTGGATCTCTGCCTCTCTTGTGGGACTCCATGGGCTGCAGGGACAGAGCTGCTTCACCATGATCTGCAGGGGAATCTTTGCTCTGGTGCCTCCCTGATACCAAAATCTAGCCAACAAAGCCAATACAGCAAACTCTCTATTACTTATTGGCATATTTAGGATTGCAGTCTTGTTGAGGGGATTTGTTTTTTTTTTGACTTGGTGTTTGGTGGCTTTTTTAAATGGAATTGATTCATAGTGTTATTTGGCAGAAGTTGGTTAATACCTTCTCCACAATGCCATGGCATGGAGATTCTTTTTTGGTTTGGGGGAAATTATACCAGCCTTAGACTTCTGATCTCTGCTGCCTGATACCGTGTTGTACCAATTCTTCTGTGATTTCTGTCACAGGGGATGTCTAGGCAGAAAATAGGGTGGCTCAGTAGCAGCTGAGCATGTGGACACTAAGGAGCAGGTGAGAGTGCAGGCTGATGTATGGGATCTCATGGCTGGATCACAGGATCCCCCTCCTTTTTTTTCCCCATCCTGGTGTGTACTTTGTGTTTCGTTAGGTGATGTGGAAGCACAGCGTGCTGCTTTGTGGTGACAGCAAGGGCCAGAGCAGCCCCGTGTGTCTGCAGGCCATCCCTGCATGCTGCTGCTCTGGGGAAGGGCATGGCTCCCACTGTGGGCAAGGCAGGGGTGACCTGCTTACAATTAATCTGCTGCACTCACATCAAGGGCTGGAATACATGTCTGTTCATATTAGAAAATTTCATGTGCCTAAAGTGTTTTGGAAAGAAACCCAAACCTTTATCAGAATAAAGGTCTTATCACTGAAAAACTTTGAACTGATGAATTAGTAGCTCTTTTTATTCATGGGTTACATGAGGAAAAAAAGCAAAACCAAATTAGTTTCAATTAATTGTATCTTAAAATGTATAAGTGTTGCAGATTTCACTTATAAACTTTTCTTTTTTTTCAGAAACAAGACACTGGACAGATTTTATTGGATATGACCTATAACCAGCTGGGTGTGACAGAGAAGGAATATTTTGGTTTACAGCAAAATGAGACTTCAGTGGATTCACCTGTAAGTATAGTAAATAATAATGTGTGTGCATGTATATGTGTGTATGAATATATACACATGTATGTATACACACATATTCATGCACACACATGAACATAAACAGTATTTCTTTGTAAATATTTTTAATCTATCTAATAGTTTTTCATTTCACAGCGATGGCTTGAACCAAGCAAACCTATTAGAAAACAGTTAAAAGGTAAGACTTATTTTTATCTTGATTGTAACTCTGCAGTTCTGTTTTTCTATGTTGTTATGGCTAGAATAAATGCATATTGCCCAGATGGTGGATTTTTCTTCGATAGCAAGTCTTATGTCTGCCAGTCTTTTCAGCAGATCCTTCTACTTCTCCCTCCTCCTGAATGGAAATAAGACGTGTTAGATCATTAACTTTGATGCTATAATAGCAGCTAAACCTGGTTTCTGAGCAGTGTTAGAAATGCTTAGATGGCCATGAAAGCAGTAGTCATATTGTGGTGCCAGTGAATTCCTCCTGAGAGGGAAGCAAAGGAATAGGGTTTTGGTTGAGGGAGGAATAGCCAGGTTCGTGTGTAGGTTCTGACAATTTCTTGTCTCACATACAATAAAAACCCCCAAATTTATGCATTTTTATTAAAAAACAACTAACCAAAAAAAACAACACCCCACACTTCCAGGTTCATCTGTTGTTCTAGTACGTCTTGTTTTATACAGCTTTGGGTAACACAGAATGCCTACCAAGAGAGACAGGCCAGCCAGCATAACCCTGGCCAGAGAGCAGCTGAGGAGTGGCTCTGAGTGGCACTGTCCCAGTTTGTGCTGTGACACTTGAGATATGTTTCTCAGCACTCTCATTTCTACCTTGTGCTACAGATGATGCATTTTTTTTTTCCAATTCATATACAAAAATAGCATGTTGGACTTCTGTAATTGAATGTATTTATATGTTAGATAGAACTGAGCATTATCCCAACTGAGATACCTTAAATATATTTAGTGCTTTTCTCTTTTCTAGTACTTAGGAGGCAAAGGAAGCTCAATAATGCCTTTTATGCAAAGTAGCATATGCTAAGTACTTTAAATGAAAACATTACTACATTTGAGAGTATTTTCTTCTCAAAGTTGATGTAGTTGGTGTTGGGGCATCAGGAGAGACTTTGCATAGTTTCTTTGAGTTTCATGAAAAAAAGTACATGAGATTTCTATGTGGTTGTTCATGTAGTTTTTCTGTAAATATAGAAATGAAAATATTACACTCTTTCAATTTTAAACAAAATATTGATTTGCTCTTCTAAAATATTGCAGGAGGTTTTCCCTGCACGCTTCATTTTCGTGTAAGGTTTTTTATACCTGATCCTAACACACTTCAGCAAGAACAAACCAGGTAACTTGTGTTTAGTGTTTGCTTTCGTCAACTAAGAATGTGTCTTGCCCATGTCTGCAGCTTGGCAAATTATGCTTTATGACATAGATAACTTTCTGTTACTCTTGGTATTGAATGCATTTGGAATGGAGGGCTTAATGCCATGCTCACAGTGAGTAGTTTTTGATATACACAGCTTTCAACTCAGATACAGCTGGAGTGTAAGTTAGTACGAAGATATAGGTGTTAAAGGTACATTTATTTGCATCTTGGATTTTTTTTTGAGTCTGCATGCCCTAGGTCTATCTTAGGAGTTTTGTATCAACACTGAGTCAGTTTTGAACATGTGTAATAGATTTAATGCTGAGGGTGTGGGAGGGTGGGGTTTATTTTTTTTGGGGAAGAACAGATAACAGTTCTTGTTTTCTCGTTTGCCCATTACTTGTAGCATGCAAAGATGCATAATGCTTCGGTTTACAGTAGACTTCTGAAGTTTTATTTTTATACCTTTCTCTAAGTTTATGGGGTGATGGGGTACATGAATTGTAAGCAGTTTTCAATTAATTTGTCAAAAGATTTTAATTGAATACTTGTTTTATTCAGTGCCTGTAATTTGGAGTTTAGAATTTGAAGGCACACATTAATCTGACCATTAATCTGACATTTCTGTAGCATTTTCGTTGCTTATTAATTTCAGCGACTTGGGAATATAAATAGTACAACGTGTGAAATTATATTTCTTGTAGAAAATTTAGCTTTTGGCCTGTTTTGGTATTTATTAATCATGTTTTAAGCTGTTCTGCAGTTTAAAACTGAAATTATTCAATGATCTGCTCTCTAAGGTTCTTCACATGCCCACTTTTCAGTATCACTATAAACTGACATTGTCAAACACACTAATAAGAGGAAGACTGGTCTTGGAGAATTGTTTAAGAGCTTTTTGTTAGCATATGGTGCTAGAGAAATGTCTCATCCTCCACTGAGTAGCTCCTAGATAGACTCTCACAGTCAAACCTTGATTGAGATTTGGGGTGTGGTTTTTTTTGTGTTTTTTTGGGTTTTTTTTTGTTGTTTTTTTTTTTTTTTTAATTAAATTTGCATTCAAAATGAGTATTCCAGGAAGAGAAAGAGCCCATTTCAGTGGTGGTTTGGTTTTTGTAGTGTTAATTGTGGCATTAATACCGTGGCCCTGGAATTGCAGTAGAGACTGCCAAAGATCCTTAAAAATGTTGTGAGAGTAAGTGGGTGTATGATTGCGTATTTGTAAATGCCACTAATATTTGTTCATCTGTTTGTATAGCTTGGTGGGAAATCTAGTGAAGTAAAACTAATATATGTAGCTATTTAAATCATACCATTTAAAAATAAATGCACATTTGTTTCTTTTCCAAAAAAATGTTTTCTAGGCATTTATTCTTTCTGCAGTTGAAGATTGATATTGCAGAAGGAAGGTAATAAGAATCTTCAATTTCTCTATAATTATTTTAAAAATAAAATTTAAAAGCCTTTGACCTGAGGATATTGTTGCTGTAAAATTATCCCAGTTATCCCATAAATATGCCTTGTGAGACATTGCTTTAAAGGAAATTGACATTGCTAGGAAATGTTACAAATTTTCTCATAGCTCACTTGTTAAGAACAATTTAGAAGTCTCTTGTGAATGAGCTATAGGAGATGCTATGTGTCAACAAGCTCAACATCAGCCACAGAGATATTTATGCAAGGCTTGGTGTGCCAGGCATGGAATTCCAAACCTGGGGACCCACTACCTAGTGCAGTAATCAGGAGTAGCAACAGGCAGTTCATGCTATAATTTCTCATTATTTCAGGGTTATATTACCTATATGGTGGGCATATACCCAGTGGTTTATTTGGCTGTGATTTCTGTGTGTTTGTACATTAAAAAAAAAGTAAAAAGGAAAACATGGTCCAAGTATTTGGTGCCAAATGTCAGTTGCCTACAGGTGTTGGCTTTTTCTTTTATAGAGTCCGTTTTGGTCATACGATCAGAGCTGTCTTTGTGCTTGGCATTTGGGTAATTTTAGTGTTTGTGTCTAGTTTTAAATACACCAGAATGCAGCTATTAAAATAATGTCTAGAGCCCCATAAAAGTCTTTTCTCCTTTTTCTTTCCTGACTAAGCATCCAGCAAGAGTTCGAGTATGTCCTTTTCCAATTAGTTCCTTCCATTCACTTAAGGGACTCTTTAATATCTGGTTGTACTGTACTTTAACAATCAAACTTAGTAAGAAAAAATCAGATATGCTTTTGAAGATAAATTAGTCTGTGCATACTGAACTAATTGTGAGACAGTTTCAATAAGACATACATACAGCCTATGATTAAATAAAATTATTTCCTCTCATTTCCAGGTTGTCATGCCCCATTAGTTCTGCTGTTGTCTTGGCATCATATGCAGTACAATGTAAGTAATTACCAACCGTTATTTTGTTAATAACTTGATTTGACCAACTACTTTCTTGGCTGTTTGGCACTGAAAAGTCAGAAAAGATTTCTTTCCTTATCTATTTATGCAAAGTATTTGGTATGCAGGTGAAGGTTATTCAAGCAGCCTGCAGAGACAGTCTAAATAGAAAAAGAATACTTTTTAGGCCTGTAAAAAAAAAGTTGATAGAAGAATAATGTTACTATTTATGTGTGCTTCTGACTGCTGACAAAAAAGTCAGGTTTGCATTGTCAGTGGAAACAAAACTGTGAAACTTACTGTGTGTTATAGTAGCTATGGGAAAGCATTCCAAGGGAATAAGTGGTCATCTAGAGAACACATAAGAGGAAGGTAAACTCAAGGTTAAGAAACTGCAGTGTTCTTACACAATGTTTGTTTCATGGAATTTGGTTTGTTAGTTATGTAAAACTGGCCCTTTGCAACACATTTAAGGTGACTTTACATATAAGAACTTACATCCTTCTCATCTGCCTTCAGCTGGCAAAAAAAATCAAATGATGACACTAGAAAAACATCTTCTGTAGGAAAACCAAATTGGAGTCTGACAATGCCTCACAAGCATCTTCAACAGATAGTGGAAAACAGCTGGAGGAAGACCTTTCTCATTAAACAAATAAAGAAAAAAAAATAGGTTGGGGGTTTACTGGCATTTGCATATTTGTTAAAATAGTCAGGGGAAAATAAGCGAGAATAGTTGTGTAATTATTTGGCTGAATCTCATTTCTTTTATGGAAAGGCTAACAAGACCCACAGAAACAATTGAGGTAATATCTGTTTGAAATAAAAACCAAGCTAAAATAATTAAAGTGTGGTTTTCAAAGAGGAATGTGATAAACTCTTAGTATCTGTTGAAACCCTAAGAGTCTATGAAACATTTGCTTTTAAGTTTAAGCATATCATATGTTGCACCCTTTTATAAAATGAAGCTGTAATCAGATTCAAGCTTCAGTAAGAATAGCTGAAATTTTCCAAATTTCCCATAGTCCCAGTTTTGGTGCCAAATGAAATGCATCCTGCTCTGGTGTTTCTGAGGCTCAGTAAGGGCACTTGAAGACTGAAACACTCTGCACCATTAGGATTGCTAAATGAATTGGTGATCCAATTCTTCTAAAGCTCAAAAATAAAGAATGCAAAGGTTTTATGAAAAGGGAAATTAATCATGTCATATCTAGTGTATCCCAAAGTAGTTTCTGCTTCCCCTTCGGTTTTACAACTGTTCCCTTTTTAGTACTTAGGCTGGGATACCTGCTAATGCAGTCATCTGTACTAAAGGAGAATGATAGAAGGATGGTGAAGATTGTCAAAGGGTGCTAGTGTGTTTTAATCATTGTCTTTCATGGTGGATTCTGGATTTTCCTTGAGCTATTTATCTGTTTTTTCTAACTCCTGACAGTGCTTCTTTTACCAAGTGGTGGGGATTTTTTTTTTTCTGTTTCTTTTTCTTTTTTAATTGAAAAAGCACAGCACAAAAAACCCCAAACCCAAAAGTAACTATTTTTTTGCTATCTGATTTCCTTTCTGTTGCTGTTTGTGTGATACTGATATTTATTCTCTGCATTGGTAAGGAATGAAATGTTTAATAGAAAGACATATTCCCTTAAGTTGTGTTTTTTTGGTTTTTTTTTTGCTTTTAGCTGAAGATGATGGCATAGGAAAGAGATTTTTGAAATCAAGGGGTTTGGTCTCCTTACTGAGTCATGTTTTCTGTGATTCCTGTCAATTGAAATTGTTTTAAGTAGTTTTCTATTAGCATTTTAATTTCTAATCATACTTAGTAAGGAAAGTTCTTGGTATGAGGTAGCTGCTTATGAGAAATCCATTGTTTCAGGTTGCCATGAATCTGTTCTATCTGAGCTATTTACTGCCCTGCCACTTCTTGGTGGCTTTCAGGCTGCTCTCTCCTTCTGTAGCTCCCCTTGCGTGCAGAAGGGGAAATCCTTGTTGTCTGACAACCTTGTGGGTTGTTTATTTAAAAGGTGTAGCAGTTGTTGCTGATGGCAGGGCTGAAGCAGATCACTTTCACAGTGTATGAAGTCTAGTGTTTGATATTTCTGCTCTTGCTTCTTAACTAAATTTTTTCCATGTGCTAGCACTATGGTTGGCCTTCAGAGGCTTTGTCTGAGTTTTGCAAGGGGGCAGTTTTTGGTGATGTCTTCTGGGATGCTGCTTCTCTGTAGTGCCCTGTGTGCAGGCATTTGGTTCTGAAATAAAGCTCTGACGTGTCCCTCTGCCCTGCTGCAGCACACCCTGTGTTGACTGGTGGGGCTAAGTTACAGGGGAATGCAAGTGGGTGTGAATACTGTGTCTGAAGAACATGTGACTGAACCTGATTACGAACATACTTCAGCCACTTCAAGAATAAGTTGTTAGTTATTATCAGGAATGTACTTTGTGACAAAACAGTCAGTGGATTTTGAAATATTTTTTCTTTAAGAAGAACTTGTTAAGGTGCATTTCAAATAATTTCATCATTGTGAAGTTGGAAGGATACAGTCATACTGAAAAATCTTGATTAGTCATGTGTTTTTACTAGTGCAAAATGGGAATGTTGTACTGTCTGTAAAACCAAATAAGGAAACATATACGACTATTCCTTTTTTAAAATTTCAAATGGTGATTTAGCACCACTCGTTTTCTATCACTTCATGTAGCAAATTGCCATTTCCAGGCCATTGTTTAAATGCCCAGCTACTGGTATGTAAGAAATCCCATGGGATTTGTGAGAATATGCTCTTATGTTAATAAATCCATTGCTGACTTGGGAACTTGGATCTGAAGCACAGCAATAAAGCTAGCCAAGATGTTATGAATGCTTCTAAGATTGTTTTTTCCTGAGCATCAGTTGTTCTTGTCTCCTGCAGTACTGCTCCTCTCAGCCCTGCTTTGAGACCCAGGAATCATCTCCAGCACACTGCTATCTGTCTTTAGGACTTTGTTCAGAAAGGGGTTGGCTGGTTGCTAGGAATTCAAATGGACTTTAACCTCATGTAAGGAAAGGAGGGCTGGTGATGATGATGCATCAAGGAAAGCTGAGCTTGGTGTGAAAGTCTCTCAGGAACTGGGGATAAGAGTGTTAGAATTTTGGGAATGCCAGAAGATTGGTGTCCCAGAGATCGAGGTGGGCTGTGAGGCTTAGAGAAACATCAACACCACAGTGAGGCCTGACTCTTTTTTCTGACTTGCCATCTTTTTGCCTGACTTTATAACAATTAGGTTGACCCCCTCAGACTTCCTAGTTTATGGAAACCTTTCTCTTTTCATGGTTAGCATTTGGGGATTTTTCTGTGTGTGCTCCCCACCCATGCTTTCTTGAAGTGAAATAGTGCTCATAAGGACATCTCATAACAGCTGAGAGATTTGCTTACAGATCAGCCAGGTTTCTGCTTCTTTCCAGGGCACCTTTAACCCTTAGAATCAAAATCAGACTGGATTAGTAGACAGAACTTTGAGCTGAATTTCCAGTGTTTGAAATTACTTACTAGATGGGTTGGGTAGTCTGAGGATTGTGTGCATGTCACATCTGTTCTTCTGAAGCCTGCATCGGTGCTGTTAAGCCAGAGGTACCTTTTATCATATCTTACAGTACCTGTCGTCAGCAGTGCCAGTGTTATCTGTGTGAGTTTCATAACGCTCCCAATACAAGAATCAGCTTGGAGAGATGAATTGAAAAACATTCCCATTTCCTTCCATATGGTTCACTGAATCTGAATTCTAGATTGCTGCTCCTGAGCTTGCTAGCATCTCTGTACAACAGATCATCTAAGAGTGTCCTGGTTGTTTATGTACAGCAACTTTCCAGCTCTTTTGGGCTGGTTTTCCTTAGTTATATTTTACAGTTGTGTTTGGCAATACAGAAGCCACTTCAGGAGATCATTGCTTCAAGTATTGTTTGTGATGGTCTTCCATTAAGCCACAAATAATTTTTTGAACTGTAACACTTCAAAACAAGGTACAGTCTCCAGAGTGGAGAACCCCAGATTGGGATTCTGGCCAGGGTTGTAGCTGAAGGAGCTGACTTTCTGCAGTGCCTCTTAGATTTGATACTACTATTCTTCTGTATTTTTAAGTTGGATGAACTTATTAAATATGTTTGCGTAACATAAGTAAAAAGGGGGAAAGAAGAGTTTCTCAAGGTCAAGGTGCATGTAATACAGTATTACACTCATGGTAACAGCCTCGAGTTGCACCAGGCAAGGTTTAGTTTCTGTATTAGGAAACATATCTTCACCAAAAGGGTTGTCAGGCTTTGGAAGAGGCTGTCCAGGTAAGTGGTGAAGTCATCATTCCAGGAGGTATTTAAAAAATGTGCAGATGTGGCACAGAGGGGTATGGTTTAGTGTGGGCTTGTCTATGCTGGGTTGAGGGTTGGGCTCAGTGGTCTTAGAGGTCTTGTCCAACCTAAATGACTTTGTGATTCTCAAATGAGTAGTGGTGAATGCTGAGAAACAACATATATGGCAGAGGATCAGCTGCATTAATTTGGTAAAGCCTCACAATGTTTTGGGAGTATTGGTAACTATTCCTTTAAGTCTTTTATCCCAATATCTCCTCAAAATGAATACTCTTTGTACTTTGGATTATACTTTGCTTTTCTCAGTAATTTTTTTGATTGTGTCTTTATGGTTTCTGAAGTACATGTTGTATTTGAGATGCAGAAACAGCAAATCAGTATAATTTGTAGTTTTTAATTTGTTTCTTCCTGTTCCTCGTGACTATTGTTTTGTGTTGTTTGACTGTGTCTGGGTTTTGAGCTGCTGATTTTTATTTTTTAGTTCTTTTAATAAAAGGCATTACAATGACTGGCTCATTTTTCATTCTGGAGTGGTAAATAACTTGGAGACTACCATTGTGCATGCATAGTTTTCTTTATTTTTCCTCTACAAATGTTCCTTTGTTTTTATTAATGCCTAATTTCTCATTCTGCCTTACCACAAAATGGCCAGCTGTTGCAAGTGGTCATAAGCAGCTATTTACAGTCATGCCTAGGCTGAACATTTTGTAAGGGCTCTTGAGTGTGAAGCATTATTTCCTTTTACAAAACAAATTAGTTTTAACTCACATGATAGCTAGTTCTATTTGTCCTGTAGGGCATCACAATTACTTAGGGACTGAGTGGGTTAGTGTTCATGTTCGCATCCTTATTTGGATACAGGTCCCACTTGTTGAAACACCTTTCCTTCTCTAACATTCACTTCTGAGGGTTTTAGACCTTTTAGGAATTTCTCTCTGAAAACCATCTTCAACATGATGTCATTTTGCTCATTCTGATGTACCATTTTAGTCTGTCTGTAGTAAGTGGCTGCATTTTTATGTTGGTTCTTTGAAACTGAATTCTGCTGTAGCGGATTGTTTTTTGATTCCAGAAACATTTTAATACTTGAATAATTTTTAGTTACTGTTGAGAAACATTTTATGCTGGAAAGTTCATCTTTCTTTTGTTGTCTTTTTGTTCATTGCCAAGAAACAATCACTTAAAATTTCTAAACTGATTAAACTGTATAGATTAAGTATTTTTTCTTTTTGTACCTCAGTTTTTATATGAAGATAAATTAACCATTAGCCTTTAATACTACATTTCACCCTCATCTCAAGAATGTGAGTCATTATTGCTGTCCTGATTTGGAGGCCAGTCATATGATCCTAACTATGTTTTAATCCTGAACTGCAGTTTTGTACGTGAGGATTTTTACAATTTATGTGCAAGACTCTTCCTGTGGTTTGTTTATTCTGTTGCCTTGTGAACTTGATCTTTTTTATGTAGTTATCCTTTTTTTTAAAACAGGCAACTCAATTCACTTTTGTGCTTTATTCATTTGACTTACAATATTAAAATTGCTATAAAGTTACAAGTTCAATATGAACCTGCTTGATTCTTTTCTGATACACTTCTCAGGTCTATAGAAAATTGATATTTAACCAGTTTCTAAAGACTAGTTTTTGTTAGCATTCCTTTGGGTAAATTTGCCCAAATGACCTATAGCTGATTTCTCATCATGGTTAGCCAATGAGTCATTTATACATTTCCCTTCTTCTGTCTGAAGTTACTTGAAATGCCCATGTGTAGAAATAAGTTCTGGTGCTATTACTTTGTGTGCAATTATTTTTCTAATTATTTACAAGTAAAGTCTGTGGAATTGGAGAGCAATGTCATCTGCACCTTGAAGGATATCTGAACAAATTACTTTTGAAAAAAGTATGAAGAATTTATGGCTTGTTTAGGCTTCAATAAGGCATAGACAGATCCTATACTCTGTAAACCTGTATGATTTCAAGACTTGTGTTTCAAGTACTTATAAGCCCTTCTTTTGTTGAAAGTTTGTATGACTGGTGTTTCAGCATGTCAGCATGGCTACTTGGCTATTGAACTCTTCTTTTACTAGAAATTTAAAAATAAATATCCTGTTTTTACTGAATATGACCTTCTAAATTAATGGTCCATCACATTCCTTCCTTTAAAGCTTTTCATATTAGATATCTAACTCTAAAATATAATATTCTGATATTCAAATATAAGGGGTTTCTTTGTTTTTTGACTCCTCCTTTGTTCCAATTTCTCTCACTTTGCTCTGTATTCTTTGCCATTTATAATAAATTAAGGAGCAACAATAGTCTAGAATGGAGAAAGGTTAAAATATTATTATTTTTATACTCTGAGTTAGTATCTGCTGACTTGTGTTGATCAGAGCAGAAACTATATCAGGAGAGACTCAGATTAGAAATAGGTCTTTAATATTTCTTACCCTCCTTCTCTGTGCTGGAGAAATCCAGTAAAGAGATAGAAGCATCATGGGGTATTATTCCTGCCGAAGTCTTGATATGTCCTAACTTTTTTCCCTACCTGGATAATTAAATCTTGCACAAGATCATTAGTCTTGCAAGATGTTTCTCTTCTACTGTAACAGCGGCTAGGGAGTTGGAGAAACTAAATTGCTCCCCTTGTTGGCATGGCCTCAGGTAGCTAGTAGCAAGAGGGAAAAAACTCAGTGTAGCCTATTTAGAAGATTAGAAAGAAGATTACCTCATAATGTATGGAGGAGTAGCAGTTGTCCCTTTTAGAGAAGGTAAAATTACAGAAACTGCTTTATCTTATTCCTGACAATCTGGTCTTTTCCCATTGGCAAAAGCAGAATTCAAGCTGGCTGCAGCAAACCTTAAAGATGTAGATTGTTTCATAGAAAAGATTGGTTGTGTTAATGACTAGTAAAGGAAAGGATCCTCAATCAACTACTGTAATTGTGAAATTGTGGGGGTTTTTTTACACTGTTTTTAGCATACTATTTATTTCTAAAAGTTTCAAATTTTCAGTTTTGTTTTTGTTGCCTTAGACTTAGCATTGTCAGGCTTGGACTTTTGTCAATATATGGATATTCCTAAAAATCATTTCAGTTTCTTAGGATACTTCTGCATTGTCTGCCTTGGTTGATTTGGTGGTTTTTTGTTTTGTTTTTATTCATTCTTGGATTTTTGTTTTTCTTCAGATAAATTTTACAGTAATGTTTGAATACGTGTTTTGGCTCTCATGGAAAATATGTAGTCTTTTGCCTGCCACTTGCTAATTAATTTCAAGTTTAGGCTAACTTTTAAAGGAAAGAACTAAGCATGCAAGACTTTCTGCATTTAAAGTAAATCAGTTTCTCTTTCTCGTTCCCTTTTTTATTTAAATATTTCTTTTGATGCAGACAATTAGGTGTGCAACTATGTTAGCTTTTGACTGCATTTCCCTGGGAATTGTATTGTATCATTGTAGTTCCATTTTCTGGACCATATAAATCATGCAGTTTGAATATACATATAAGTGGCAAATGTTAGTTATCGGCTGCATTGCAGATCCTGCATAATTACTAGGTGTAAGCTATTTCTCATGTGCTCCTCTTGCCACTCAGCTTGAATCACTTAAATGTCGCTTTCATACTTTTTTAAAAAATTTTCTGGAAAATAGTGTTAATATTATTAGTATACTAGTATATATATTAGTATACACATTAGTATATTAGTATATCCTAAAAGTGTGTTCTTGAACTTTGATTTAGTTGAGGAGCTTTCGATGCTGAATTGTTTGCAGCCTATCAGTTACTTTTCTTTTGTGTTAATTTGCAAATCATTCCAATAACTTCTGGGAAACTTTAAGGCTTTATAATCACTATTCTGTACTCCTTATGAAAAAGAAGGTTAATACAGCTTGTAGTTATTTACTTTTTGTAGCAGCTTGGTAATGTTATGTATCAATCAGCAGTTATTTCACATTTTCCGTTAAGTAATTCACAGCTAAATTTCTAGGACAGGGATATAGTTGGTAGTTGAGCGATTTCCACCTGAATTTGGGAAGAGTGGATGCTTTTTAAATGACAGATCTTGCTGAAGACTTCTAACATGTTCTAGTCAAGTAAATGTGTCAAATTTATTTCATTTGCCATCTCTTACTGAAGCAGTTTGGTGTTCTCTGATGTTACAGTGCTGCACGTCTGTGTCAGCACAGCACATGACATCTGTCTGGTGCATTACGGGTTGTGATGCAAAAGTGAGGCTACATAAGTAACTAAATAAAGTACTGAGTCATTGAGTGCCTGAGATTATAGTTATGGTAAGTGTATTTTGAAAAAAATCTTACCTTGCTGAGGTCATACAGTTCCCGATGTTCGACACTTCTTGTATGTTGGGAAATAATTAGTAATTTCTGCATTTTCCTGTATGTGTTTTAATGGGAAGGAATTTCTTCTAAACAAAAATCCAATTAACTATGAAAACTGTATATGTGTTTCTTGTTTCTTAACAGCACAACTTGGAGACTATAATGCTTCAGTGCATTGTTCAGGATATCTTTCAAATTACAACTTTATACCGGAGCAGAACAAAGATTTTCTTACCAAAGTAGAAACACTACATGAGCAACACAGGTAATGTGAGCTTTTAGTTCTCTCTCACCTCTTGAGTTTAAAAAAAAAAAACAAAAAACAAAAAAAAAAAAAAAGATGTCAAAAGGAAGACTCAAGTTCTTAGTAGTTTCATTACAACAGCCAACTTATTTCATATATCTTCTGTTAAATTAAATACTTGGGTTCATCATAGAGATTCTAGATTAATTATATTCAGAGTATGATGCTAATGTGTTGAAACATTTTAATAAATTTCTGGTTATAACCTCCAGGAGATTAGTTAGCCTTAAATTTTATTAAAGACAACAATCTAGAACGCTATACTAGATGTTTGAGGAATTTGCAGCATGAAGAACATTTGATCATTTTTCAAATTCTACAGATGTGTTTTTGTCTATATCTGTGGAAAAAAAGCTCCAAGAAATGCCATAACTATAAAACACTTCAATTAACTTTGTGCTTTCACTCCCCTCTCCTGAGTGTAATACAAAGGCTGCAACAGATTATTCCAGTCACTGAACTGATAATTATTTTTTCTGACCCTGCTGATTTGTCTCTTGTAAGACTGCAGCTTTGGAATTAGTGGTGTTGATCAGACACTTGCAAGCTGAATTCAAATATACCAATCTAAGAAATTGTCTGTGAGCAAATGAAATCCAAATCTCTGTAGACTTGTTTTCTCTGTCTGTATCTTGACTGCAGTAGAGCTAATTGCCCGCTCTCTTAGTTTCTTTGATTTATACCCTGAAATATTTCCATTTTCATGTCTTCCTAATGTCCCTCAGCTGTTTTTTTCTCATCTTTCAATACTCTTACTTTTCCCTCTGGTTTTTTTACTGCTAGTGGGTGTAGTGAGTAGTTCTGAACTTCACGTGTGCTCCCTGTCCATCCAGAGCAGGCCTTGTCATTTATGAGGCAAAAGAAGATAACCACTGAACTCTTAACTCCAGCTGTCCTTTCTGTTGGAGATACTAATCTGGGCTGCTTTCCTAACAGTTCGTGCTCAGGCACACAACAGGTGATGCTTCTACTCCTTAATTTGCAGTTTCCTCACTAGTTTTTGAGGGGGACTTTTAGACAGGAATGAGTAAACCTGCTTGTCTTTAGGAAGGAGTCACCTTGGAGACCACTGAGGGAAGTTTCTGAAGAGTCTTGGATTGGCTGGGTTGAGCTCATCTATTTAGTGCTGTGGTAGCAAGAGATATAAAACTGGTTATGTTCTGCAGAGGAAGGATCAGATGTTAGCATTGGTCCAGACTGAGGTGTGGTGAGGTCTGTTGGAAAGACTGCTTTCTTGTCTGTGTCCTTTCAGTGATATCAATGCTTTCATTGAGTGCCTTTGGTGGAGTGAAGCATTGATGGTTGAGAAGTTTAACTTCCATATTGGATTTAACAGAGGTGTTGGTAATTGAAAGTATGAATAAAAATATGAGTTGATTGGACTGGAAAAAAATGTTTCTTTATTGTTTTAACACCTCTTTTGAAACTTAACTCTTAAGGCCAATTTACATTAGAGTGCAGGGAGAGGCAGACAAATTATTGTATATTCTGGCAGTATTTCTTTCATACTCCTTTGGCATTCGTATGTCTCAGACATGAATTTGACTAGATCAGTGCCAAGAACATACTTCACAGGAATGGTTCTGGTGTTCATCAGAGCTGCTGGGAAGGAAAGACGGAAAGGAAGAGTTTACTTTTTTACCCCTTGAGAGAACATCGTTGCTTTGGAATGAGATATCTGCTAATCTGGAATAAAAAAATATTGCTGTAAACCATAAAGGTTATCTGTAAATAATTGTAGCTTTGAAATTGGTATTCTTGTATTATACAGGGTTTCAACGCCAACCCTATAAACATCTATCATTTTTTCATTCTTTAGTGTCCATCCTTTGGGAAACTTTCACAAAGCAAAATAAAAAGGCTTGAATTGCTGAAATACAGGCTTGAGAAGTTGTGTTATGTATTGTAACTCAGTGCAAGGTTTTTGTTACCTAGGTCTTATGTTGCTTTTCAAAATCTGAGGAAGTATTCCCTGAACAAGTTCGTGTCACACTGTTCAATGGACAGTATGTAGCTGTTAAAGCAGCTATTGTCATGTTGAACTGGTATAGCTTCAGAAATTTTCCTTTTGTGTTCATCTCTAAATCCATTGGGGGATTTTTCTGTATATAGTTGGTTCTAACGTGGTTTTCCTGCTGTGTTTTGCTTAGTAAAATAAGCAGCCTGAGATCTTAGGATGCAGATGTTGTCCAAATTGTTCAGGTTTTCATAGTGCTTGCTAGATTCTGTCATCAGTTTGAAGAGAAGGATGCATTTATAACTAAATAGGATGCTTATATTCCAGGTGAGGTTTGCTAGTCCTTGGGTATCAACAACTACAAAAATTGGAACATCAAGACCAGTTTCCTCTTGCCTGTTTATCTCACTGAATAATTACCATCTGCTTAGGGACCTGAAGGTTTCATTTCACCTCTAATTGAGTAGGAGGGTGTACAATAACGAGTAAAAAACCTAAGTGTGTTCTGAGATACTTGTTGGCCCTTCAAGACACAAGACATGACTGGTCTGATGTAGATGGAGTATACAAACTGAGAATTAAAATTTGCAGGCATATCTTGTTAGTGTGTAGCAGGCTTTCTGAAGAAAGTACTTGATCAAATGATTTAAAATGACAGTAGTGTACTCCTGCAAATGTATTCAGAATCCTTTTAACCAAATGGGCATTTCACATTGGTTTGCTTCTATAATTTTCTGACACACTGAAAGATATAGGGTCTATAAAGTTTTTCAGAATCAAGGTAACAATAATCAGTATAATAGATCTGAGAAACCAGTTTAGCTCAGGATTGTGACAAACAGCAGTTTTCTTCTTCGTTGCTCTCTTTTTTCCTGATATTATGCCATCCTCAAGCCACACTGGATGTGGCTTTCATGTTCAAAGTAGCTTTCAGTTTTCTGCAGCATGATGTAATATTTCCTAGAGTGGCTCTTTCAGGGCGTTGTATTTTGACAGCTTTGCATTTAAAAAGAAGGATATTAATTGGAAGCCACAGATGCTGGAGTTCCTAAGATAACACAATGTTACGTCAACTTTTTGCAGGTTGTACCTAAATTGCATTTGATTAATGTAATTTTATGCGTGTTGTTTTGGAAGCTTACCTAGCAAAGAGATGTTTTTACCTGTACTTATAGAAGCTTTCTTGAAGATGAGGTCAAATGCCTTTATTATTTTAATGTCTTGCCTGCAGGACAAAAATATATTTTAGGACTTACAGATTTTAGGTAAACTCAGAGGACTTTTCCTCGGTGAGTTTCATAACTTTAACTTTTAATCTGTTCTTTCCCCTTTATTTTATTAGTACACTTGTGCTTCTTATCTTTCTTCTACATGACTTCTTTCTGAGAGACTATGAAATATACAATATTTACAGATACAGCTTCTTATTAAAAAGACAGATTTTATAGGGGAATTGTTTCCTCATCCCTTTGAACATAACAGATAACAAAGATTTTTCTAAAAATAGCTAGTCCAGAGTGACTAAGGTAATAAAATCACATATAATTAACTTAATTTTTTGGGAGTACTTTAGCAGGGCCTTCACCAGTAAAAAAGTTGTGGCACTACCTAATATGGGGTTTCTCTGAGACAGTGGACTTTGGCATTCTTCTGGTTTTATGCATTTGGAATAAATATAATATAATTTTGTTTTTACTTTTCTGTGGTTCATGTTTATTATTTTTTTCCCTTCTTCTAGTGGCCTCAAGCAATCTGAAGCAGAGTCCTGCTATATAAATATAGCAAGAACACTTGAATTCTATGGAGTGGAATTGCACAGTGGTAGAGTATGTTTACATTGTAATTTTTCCCTTGGAAAGTAAATTTATATGCTTTTTTTTACATTAATTAATAGTAGTAAAAAAAAAGAATAATATTTAAGTACTGACTATCATGTGTTGTTTTTAAGTAGAGCTGGGTAATTTTTCAGTAACTTATGTGTGACATAGGTGATAGAATTTCAACCAAATAAGCTAGAACTCATCGAAAGTGTAACAAAGTATTTTTAAGACAAACTATTTAATTACTGCAATATATTTTTCTTAATAATTTTACAAAGATTTCTGAGTGTCTTACCATGAAGGAAAATGAATGCTCTGGTTAGTGCTGTTAGTTGGCAGGTGTTTTAAGAGTTTCATTTCTCTGAATTTCTAGCACTAATTTCTTAAGTGTTAAGAATATATAGGGTTTTGTGGTTTTTTGTTTGTTTATTTGTTTTTTTATTTTGTTTTGGTTTTTTTTTTGGTTTAAATTTCTGTATTCCCAGATTCCAGGCTAAGTCTAAGTATTTAACAGCTTGAGCAATGACCAGTAAAAATGTATTTGAACTCTTTTAGATACAAGGTGTTCATTGATAAGAAACATGTCTTAGTGTTTCACCGTCTACTGCAATTTAGTCAAAAAATTAATTTTTTGACTACACTATTCATCCGAAATGAATCCCCAAAATGCTTTTTTATTTGCATCCTAGGTTGCAAGTTACCTTTTGTGCTTCTGTGCAATAGTGAATTGTTTTTCTATAAGACTTGTAGTGTGAAAACCAAAGGAAGTGTACTGCAGATAATTGATGTCCTAGGTGAAGATGACCTCTAGTTTTCCTAACTTTTTTTGAGGTTTGTTAATAATCCTGACACTAAGAGTTATAATGAAAAATTGATAAATTTATTTAATGATGAGGAAGGAATAAACTGAGCCATTTGCTTCCTTCAACATATTTTCTTCTTGTTTTTCTTTACGCTGCCACAAATAGGTGAGTGTTGCATTGGATTTCTAGATGTTCCTAAAGCACTTCTGTATGAAGCCACTGTAATTACATTCATATTCATGAAATGCAGTGCTCAAATGGTAGACACTTTTTTAATAATGGAGAAAAGTAGAAAGGAAAGGAAATTATCTTAGTAAATCTGACTTTGTATAGTCTGTCTATTGGGTCATCTGTCACCTTTCTACTTTATTGAAGAAGCTCTTAGTGTTACACTTGAGATCACTATATGCACTTAACTTGATTGGATATTTGCCTTTTAACTTCTATTATAGCCTAGTATTTTGGTAAGCCAACTTGAGTGCTAAGACTTCCACACTAGACTGTGACCAGTCTCTTAATATTGATGGGATGTTGTTTCTGAAAGCTCTTCCAATTTCCATTGTCCTTCCTGAGCTGCAGTCTGCTGAACTGCATGCAGGATGTCAGTAGTGGTTTTACCAGTGCCAGTGGTGATAATAGGCTGGATTCAGACATTTTCAGTTAGATGAAATTTCACTGCAGGTGATTTTGCTGCTGTTTCAATTCAAAATAATAGTTTTATCAAAATTCAGGTTTTTTAAGGATGAAATATTTGAAGTGATCTGGTTTTTCTAGCCATTGAACTAGACAGCTAGACGTTTAGAAGCTGCAAGGAAGGAAATAGAACCCAAACCAGAAAATATCATGCCACCTTTCAAATTGAGTTTTGATATCATTTGAATGCTGAGCTTCATTCTTCCTCTCCCTTCCTCATCTCAGAGTAGGCAACAGGAAAAGAAAAGTACAGAGAAGGATAATAATCACAAATGTTTTAAGGAAAAGCCTTCTGTAGCAGGTGAATAGCATGGAGAATGTGAATAGCCAACAAGCTCTTCAGTCTACCCAAAAAGAGACAGGTTTAAGTAAAGGAACTTTATTCATAAGGCTGCAGTTGAACTGTAGGGTTACTTCTGATTTAATGGATGCCCAAGGTGAAATAGCTCTCAGGAACAGTCAGGCAGTCACTGGAGTCCATTAAACATAAAAGAAGCTTCTAAACCAGGAAATCCTTTACCTGTAAATGACCTGAAACTGAGAAGGGAAGTTGTTAGTCAAGGTGTAGTTGGTTGTCTCTGAAGTTTTGTCCTTCAGAACATCAGTTGCTGCTCACTGTTTGGATTGAGTGCCACGAGGCAAATCTCTCAACCAACATGAGGTTGGTCTTGCTCCTTGTAAGAAGTCTACAGTGAAGGTTTATAAGCTGCTTCTTCACAGAGGCTACTGTGTCCTGCCCCTGCTTTGGCAGGGATGTTTACAGTGCCTCCTGATATCCTCCCCCCAATCAGAACTACTTTTAAATCTTCCTTCCAGTTTTGTCACATCCCAGTGCCTTGACCAGATTTATCAGGGGCTAATTAAACTGCGTCTCTGTGAAAGGCTTTATCTCTGTGGATTCTGATGATCTTTTTCCTCTTAGATTGTGTAAAGCAGAAGAACCAGGTAACACCTGGCTTTTGTACTAATGGCCCAAAGAAGCTGGTGCTCCTGTACTGGTGGTTGAGAGTGGGATACTTTTGGATAATGTTTCTTGAAGAGCAGATGGATATATAGCTTCCTTTTTTTTTTTTTTTTTTTTTTTAATGATACAAAGTTAAATATTTAATGTAAGTGTGAGCCTTTTTTTCGGGAACTTACTAAACATGCAACTTCAATCTGAGCTCAGTTTTCATCTGCAAACACTTCTGCTTTTTTTTGATGAAAAATCTGAACTGCTAAAATATTTAAATATGTGATAGTGCTAGGAGACTTGAGAGAGTGAATTCAATATCTTAAAACTATATTGATATTTCTTGAATTTCTAATCTCCTTTTCACTCTGGACCACTATCCCCACTGCTCAATAATTAATCTCCTGTTAACTTATCTTTCATTTCTTTCATTTTTACTCAGACGGTTGAAGATAGGAAATTTGTTGAATCAATATTATTTTCATATCTACAAAAATCAAAATGGTAATTGTAAATTAAATCAAATATGAATCAGTACTTAACTAGCTAGATGCCTGGCATGGTAATTTTTTATCTTTACAAATTTTATTATTATCTTCTTCATGTTACCTGTTTTTTAATAAAAATATGGATCTTATTTCTTTGTTATGCAATTTAACAGTTTGATATTTTGAAAGGGAAATAACTGTACACCAATATCATATTTCATATAAGAGGAATAGCTCTTTATGCTATTCCAGCATCTTGATTTTGTGTTTCTTGGGCTCAATACTAGAGAATTCATAATAACATGGGAGCTTAGTGGTTTGGGCTGGTGCAGAGGAGTGTAAGGAATGAACTTTGTTCTGACAAAACTTCTGGAGAAAATAGAGTAGTTTTGCCTAATTAATCCCTATCAAGTGTTTTAGATAATCCTTTATTTCTACTTAATCATGTCAATGTTAAGGTTTTATTTTTAAAGCTGTTTTTTCTTCACAGTATTGATTTTTCAAAGCAGGAACCTGGAGTAAGCACAAAGTGCTAATAATTTTTCTACCCTCCTTTAGGTTTGCCATATCATATTTAGATAATCCTTTATTTCTACTTAATCATGTCAATGTTAAGGTTTTATTTTTAAAGCTGTTTTTTCTTCACAATATTGATTTTTCAAAGCAGGAACCTAGAGTAAGCACAAAGTGCTAATAATAAAATTTTCTACCCTGCTTTAGGTTTGCCATATCATGGCAGAAACAGCTAAACTGTAGGCAGTTAATCTCCTGAAAATCTCAGTGTTCTTCCCAAGTATTAAAATACAGGGATGTCAGTTTTGGATTCCTGTATTATGCTTTGCAAATTAGGTTGGACTTCACTCATTCATGGGCCTGTATCACACTTCTATTCAACTGTTTTTAAAGGATTTATTGTAGACTTTCCACAGTATTGCCAGAGCACATGCTACCTGTTCTATTTTCCCATACTTTACTAGTATAAAGACATTGGGATTGGACATGGAGGAAAGCCATATATTAGTTGAGCCCAGAGTACCATCTAGAGGAGCAACAGTGGTACTGAAGGCTTTAGGAGAATCTGTTACCATTGTCTGTCCTTTAAAAACAGTCTGAAACTGCTTTTGAGTCAAACCTGTTATTTTAAACAATGGATTCTACTTACATGTTGATTTATGTATGCATTTAGCTCTGTTTAGAAATCTGTGTAATAACACATTAATGTGTGTTGATCATAAGAAATGGGAAGCCAAGGTTTGTAACTTCTTTAACATCACTCTGAGTTTAGGCTCAAAATGACCATTCAGCATTCTTCTCTCTGCATTTTTCTTTGGTTTTTTTAACTCAAATGTTTGCTTCTACAGAAGAATGTGTTTTCTCTTGAGTATCTCAGTACCTAGAAATGATTGTAAAATTATGTGGGGTTTTTTTTTTCCCCACCTGCATGTGTTAAGCTACCGCACAACTTTTGTTTTAGCTAATAATGGATTTCATTTAGTGTATGAAATATTCAAGTACATATGTATTTCTCCAACATATTCTCATATGGAAAATTGTGGTCACTTCCTGTGCAGTCTTTCTTGATAAGACCTTTTAGGAAAAAGTAAGGAAATATTTCCTCTCTTTTTTAAAACAGCATATAATCTGGCAATTTTTGTTCAGTTCCCAAAATTCTGTGACATTTACCTGATTAATCTTGGGAAGTATTTGAACTTCTTTCCTGAAATTAATAAGGCTAGACTTGCAAATTTACTTTTGATACAGACCTAAGGAGCATCCAGGGTAGTAGGATGAACATTACAACTTTTAATGAATGAATAATATTTAGAATGTGTAATAGATACCATCAAAAGAAAGAGATGTGCATAAATCAAAACTCAAAAATGTCATTGATTTTATTACTCAGTTTTAAATTCCTCAATTTATTCCTAGCAATTTAGGTATAGAAATCTTGAAAATACATTTATTAGTAGATAAATGTGTATGACACAAACTGCATCTGTGTTCTTACAGTATTTTTCTTTTTTAGGATCTCCATAATCTAGATCTTATGATTGGGATTGCATCCAGTGGAATTGCTGTATATAGAAAACTCATCTGTACAAGCTTCTATCCCTGGTAAATTCCTCTATTGTAAAGAAATATGTCCAGTTTTTTCCATCTTCCTTCCATTTGCTTTCACATTTTTTCCAAAGAAGCCTGTAATACCTATATTTGTTCTTTATAGAGTATTGTGGTATTTCCTTGTACTTAGATAAAAATGAAAACATACCTAGGCTTTTAAATCTTTAGGACTTTTGAAGTCCTTGCACTGTGTGAACTCTTGATCAAGTTAATTTACATACAGGTATGAGTACATTATTAGGAAAACCTTGTGGCCTTAGAGATTTGCTGCTGTTATGCTCAATAATATGTCTCTTTAAAAACAAGCAAAGCCAATCAGTATTGCTATTAAAGTTCAGCCCCTAATTCAGTCTGAATTAAGTTCAGTCTGAACTTTTTAACATGGCATTCAGCAAGAAGATACTTCTTGGAGTAGAAATGTAAAATGAGGGTTTTGGAGTTTCAGGTTTACAGGAAGTAGGATGATATAATTTAGACATTTTTAAATCTCATCAAATATGGGTACATAACATTAACAAGCAGAGAGACTTGCACATTATTCTCTGATACATAAAACATTAGAAAGCATTATTGTGCTGTAGAAAATAACCTCTTCAAAGAAATAGTGTGCACAAGAACTCTAATGTGAATGACATGAGAAGTTATATAAGCTATAATTTTTTTCAAGCACTTTTTGGGCTTTGTTAGTTATACCATACTAAAAATTGTAACCTGAATAAGAAATTATGTGCAGGCTGGGCATTTCCTTAAAGTTTTTTGATTGGATCAGAAAGAAGTGTTTTTTCAATCTTTCTTTTTTGAATGAAGTACGAACCTTTTTTTAATGCTTGATAAAGCCATAGTTTTGTCATGTTATACATGAGTTCTTTGTTGAATTTGTAATAAAAACATTATCATTTTTCTGGATAACGTTTTTGGTAAGATAGTACAGTGTTCTTAATCATGACAGAAAAATGCATTCCAAGGGGTTTTGGAAAGCAAAACTTGCTTTTTGGCCCTTAATTATACCAAAAAAAAAAAAAAAAAGCTCCCTAGCTGTATTCCTTAAATACTAGTGTCATGCCATCCTTTCAGTTATGAACCCAACCAAACAGCTTTTTTCCTATGGAAAAGCAATAAAATCACTTTCAATTAAAATACACTGCATGGTCTCTGGATTTACTTTTTTTTCTTTGCTGTGGGTTGCATTTTAACTCCCTAGGATATATTGCAATCATCCTGGATAATGCATGTCAGTAATGTTCTCATGCAGCAGCACAGTGAAAACTTGTATGTTTCCATTTCTAATGCACATTGAAGCATAAAAGACTTGTCTTTCATCTTTGTGCCTTGAGTGTTGCTCTTTCATACATCAGCCTCTCAGCTTCTTTGAACTGCTGCAGGTTTTAAAAACTGCCAGCTGGAGGCACATTTTCTGTCTTCTGCCAGTCTTGTTCTGCCAGCCTAATTGACCTAAGCAGGATATGAATTGATAATAGTTGTTCCAGAAAATCACAGAGTAATGGCATTTTAAAATCTGTGACTATATGATTTTTTTCAAGGAAGGGAAAGATAGTTTATAGCACAAAAGACAGGAGGAATCTACAGCTTCCTGTGCTACTTTTACTTCTGCAGAGCACAGAGGAATAAAACACAGATGCATTTTTCACAAAAGCCTATTCTCATTTACAGAAAAAAGTTGAGGGAAGTAAAACCCACAGGTTTTTCAGTTCAAATAATTCCCACTCTAAAATATGAGGTTTAGGCAGTAATATTTTCAGCTGACGGCTCATGCAGTTGTTTCAAGCTTTCCTACTCACTCACTTTCTCTCTCCCTCTCTCTCTGTAAAAATTTCTTTTCAACTTGAAAGCAAAAGCTCCCTGCGCAGGGGCTAACTTTTTGATATTTTATTTCTGGCATCTTGCATGAGTTAATCATAATTATTTGTTCAGGAATGGTTTCCATTCTCTGATCCCACCAAAACAAGCAAAACACTGAAAATCACCAGAGTGGAGCTGCTTGGGATGTATTTGTAGTATTGATTCTTACTTTTATTTTAGATTTCCAAGCAGGATATATTTCTGTAATGCCTGAAGTGGTATTTATTTAGGCTCTTTATGTAACACCATTTGTACCAAGTGGTTTTTCCTATGGACTCTGCAAACTTCACCATTAACGAGTTAGAACTCAAGGTGGCAGCAAACACCATCAAAGCACTCTTTCCAAAATTTTAAGTAAAATACTCTGCAATGGAAGACAACAATACAACTATGCCATATGGTAGTAGTCAAAGGGGACCAAAGTTTTCAGGAACAGAGGCAGTGAGAGAGTTCTGCCTTGGCAAAAAGATGCTTTTCAATCAGAGCAACCTACGTGAAGAGCTGACTGATCAGTCAGCGACAATGCAAGTAAAGATAGGTTTAAAAAATAGCTTTGGATTTAATGCAGTATTTTGTGCACTCTGCAGAGTTATTCTAAAGGGTGCTTAACTGTTATGTGATAATTTCTAGATGATTTTGCAAGTAAAATATTAATGGCAAAAACATACAAACACTCTATATCAGCAGCAACTAAAGTTAGGTATTAAATGCTTTTGTGTATGCAGTTTCACTGCTTTGAAAACTTCAGAGAAACTGTTTGAGGAGTGCATAATACATTGTTAGTTAAAACTTTGAAAACAAGTATCTCGCATAGCAAATTGGACAGAAACCTTCTTCAGTGGCAAAGTATAGGATTTACAGGTAAAGAAAGTTTTTCTTTCTTCAAGTCACAAGTACCAGCTGTTAGTACTAAGTTCTAGGATGGTACTGCCAGTTTAATCAAAAATTAACAATTCTGTGGCCCACAGAGTGACAAATCTATTTTGATGCTTGTAAATTATAGGAAGATAGGACCCAAAAGATCCATCATTCTTAATAGGCTACAACTAGTGAGTACTTTTCAAGTAAACCATGAAATTTAATGATTTGTGAATGATGCATAGTCACTGAACAGATTATTGGTGAGAGAGAAGGGCCCTGAGCCACCAGTTATAATAATAGTAACTGCATTCTATTAATATAATTTTTGGGTATGGCATCTTCAAGAACTTATTAAGTCTAAGTGCTTTGACACCTTAATCTCCTAGATATTTTTCTAGATTTTTCTAGGTGTGAACATTTAGTCAATTTGTGGGCATAACATTGCAAATGGTTTTTAGTTATTGTTAAATAAAAATGTCATAGTATCAAGTGTTCTTCATGCCTGAACTAAATAGCTTTAGTTGTAATTTAAGGAGACTGAATGGAATTGCCAGGGGTATTCTATTTAGGAGAGTGTCAAAAAAAAGAGACTTAGTGCCCTGATTTGACTTGAAGTGATTATATGGTCACACACTGAATTATGGAGGTTGTTTTGGTTTTGATGGGATTTTGGTAGTTGTTTGTTTGTTTGGGGTTTTTTTAAATAAAAGCAGGGTGTAGTGGAGAGCTATTGAGGGAGTTTTGGTACTGTAGGACGCTAGCTCCCTTTTTGTTGTTGGGTGGAGGGCTTTTCACTTAGTCTAACCTTAGTCTGCAGGGTTAGTTTTCCGTGTCCTGCATTTCAGCTGGCTTCATGTTGGGGTAAGACCAGACCATGACGGCAACTTTGGAATAACTCCAAAAACTTGTTGGTTGAAGTTTAGTCTAAGTCAAGAAATATGGTAAGAAAGAACCAGAAGCACAAAACTTGAGTGGTACTAGTTCAGGCAGAGTAGCACTAGAGTCAAGAAAGAGTTATATAAAATGAATTGCAGCTCAGGAAATACAACTGAAAATTTATATGACTTGTCAGATAGTTTAGAATCAAGAGCTTTTAGATGAGCAATGCAGATTGCTGATATTTGAGGGAGCAGGTCAAATGACACGAGTATTTTCAGAGTTGGCCTAACAGGAGAGGTGGATATGATTTCAACTTTCCATTGATTTTCACACCAGTTTTTCTGGTCAAAGAATAGTGTTGAAATACATGTTTCTTTGTGGTTCTGTAATTGATGGAGAAAAGCATTTTCTGAAAATGGCACACACTGTTTTCCACCTCTTGTACAAGAAGAGGGATAGGTAATTCCATTAATATTCTTGTTAGTAACTGGCAAATATATTCTCCTGTATCCATGAAGGATGTTGCTCTGTAACTCAAGTGCCTCTCCCTGAGCAGTGGGGAATGAGTTTTTATGCCATCCCACTTGATGAGAGCAATGCAAAAACTGTGCCAAACGGAGAGGACTTTCAACAAAGTTCATACCTGATATCTAACATCCTGTGAAGCATCCATTCATGAAAATATGAGACTTATAGCAGTAAACTTACAAAACCCTTTCATAATTTTTTTTCAGGCACATATGACTTGATCAGACCTTAAGTAGATTTCCTAAAGGAAAAGATTCCAGCTGACAATAGATCAGAGATTTCTTTGTCCAAAAATGCAGGTTTTCAATTACTGAAGTAGAATTATTGCAGAGAAAATTTAGGTATTTTAGACAAATCTTGTTTTGCTGTGAGAAGCTGTGCAGGTGGGTAGAAGTTTGTTTAATGTAGCAAAACTGATAAGTGTATAATTAAAATGAAAATTGCTTGAGCACTAATTCCAGTTGTAATCTTTACCTTAGAAAATATGCATTCACACTGTGTATATTTAAAAGGATGTGTTCAGTTCTAAAATTACCACATAAATTACATAGCAATGTTAATGAAGTGAAAAATATATTAACACTCATTCCTACAGTTTTCATCCTTCTAAAATTATGATTTTATCTAGAGATTTTGTTTAGCGATTAAGACAAATTATGAAACCAATTCTGCAAAACCTCTGCAAAGTTTCAGTTGTTGTAAGACTAACCTTGTCATGTCATTAGGGTCTTAAATTTTGTTCCTTTATTCACAGTTGTCATATGACTGTAAAGTTATACAAAAGTTGACACATTTAACATTTGTGCAGCTTAGTGTAGAGGATGTCATCAAGTTTTTTGCTGCAAGAATAGATTTGGTGGGAGAGAACTGCTGTGAACTATTTAAAGATTAAATGAGGACATCTATTTGCCACTCAACACAAGAGATGGCTGCATATTATTCATTGAATATTTTACATCTCTAATCTTTCAGGTTCACTGTACACAGTATTATTTTTCATTGTTTTATCATTCTAAACATTGCTTGTTATTTCATGGCCTGTTTCTGTCTTTTAGGGTGAACATTTTAAAAATTTCCTTTAAAAGGAAAAAGTTTTTTATACAGCAACGGCAAAAACATGTAAGTAGTCCTCTAATTTTGTTTTGCTCTAGTGACCATATTCAATATTTTATATTGAATGTAACCTACAAACTACTGATCAAAAGGCTCTGTTGGGGTAATGTGCCTTTGAAACTCTTTTGTTAACTTGGTCTTGCTATTCTGGTCTGCTTATTCCCTCTCTTTTTCCCTTTTTTTGTTTCTTTTCCAACACTGAATCTCTCCACTTTCTATCTGTTAAGACTGTATCTTTTCCGTGGAGGTTTCCTCTCCCTTGGAGACTTGGGGTAAATGCAGATCTCCATCCTTTCTCCAATATCTATTAACATAGCATATTTTCCCTTTCTCATCAGCATCTGCTGCTCTTTCCCTTGCCCTGTAGAGTTCCTTAATGCAGTGAATCTACAAAACAACTGCTTGGTCCATCTAGGGGGAGTTTGTGAGGTCTCTTCAGCTTATGGGGCTCAGAGCTCAGGAATAAAGCAAGGTCCACAATATGAAAAAAATGCCACAATATGAAAAAAAATAAATATATCTTTTTACAATGAGCATAGATTGTTTAATATGACTGAAAAACAAAAGAAAAAACTTCTCAGAAAATACTGATCAGCAGATGTATGCATATTTTAATTCACTTGAGGGCAAAACTTAGTAAAAGGTTAACTTGTACCTAAAGTTCATGGAGGCTCTTTCTGGTAGTACACAAGCTCTTAAATTTATAGGAACTGTGTTACAAGACAACCTCTTGACCCACATAGATTAGAAGGTCTGCTGAACACAGATTTCTAAGGAGGCCTTTTATTTTACCCAAAAGGAAAATGTTTTCTTCTTTTTTCTCTTTGTTGTGTACTCCTTTTTTCCCCAGTTTTGTGGACTCTTTGAAATCTGAGGAGTGAGCAAGTATGTACATGTAACTTTTCAGGATTCATGTTTAAAAAGAGTTAGTATCCAGAGATAGTGGTACTGCACTAATGCTTGCACACATACATAGCATGCACAGGGTGTGTCCTTACACACTGCAAGGGAATCTTAAGGGTTTTTTTCCTAGCTGTAAGTTTATAAATATGTTGTCTAAATGCAGACGTGTCACAGTCTGTTCATATATATTTCACTGCATGAAGAAATGAGTGGTTGATAGACCATTCTACTCACTTGTGAGCGTAAACACTTGCAAGTAGTAACTTCTTTCCTGAGTCTGAGGATTAAAAATTCACTGATAAATAGTAACTTTAAAATCTAATTATTTTCAAATATGCAGATAAGTACAGGCTTTCAGACAGCAGTTTCCAAATGTGTCTGTGAGAATAAATGTAATAACAGAACTCTCTGAGAAGGATTTGTAATACAGGGCTTGGAACTCGATTTTAAGTCTCTTCCAACCCAAACCATTCTATGATTCTCTGAAAATGAGTGTACTCACAGTAATTTTGTAATGTGGAAGAATAAAGTGTCAATATAGAACTGTCTGTGGACTTGATGTAAAATATGTGTGTTCATTACATAAAGACTTGACTGCTGTCAAAAGTAGAATTTTTGTCTCTGGAGACCTGTGTCACTTTTGAAGAGAGCAGCAATCTTAATTTGTTCAATTAAACATTTGATAAATGATGACAGTTCAAGGCTCTTGATTCTTTTAGCTTACCTTCTCTTAAGTGATCAAAGTTCTTTGTTTCATAACCTATGGAGGTGACAGTAACGCACTCAATGTCACGCTTAAAGAGCTACAGAAGTGTAAGAAAAGTTCTTACAAGGCCAGCTGCATGACCTTTTTACTCCTTCTCAGTTCATACGAAAAAGCAGACCAGGTGTGCCACTAAATCTGTGGGTAGATCCATCCTTGTCTGCCTCCTTTGTTTGAAATTTAGGGCATCAAGTGTGCAGTGCTCCAGTGGTATTGCTTGGAAAAGCTTGCTGGTGCCATGCAGTGGGAGATAGGGAGTGGAGTCCTAGGGGTTTCACCAGAATAGTGGGATGCTTGAGAGGTGTGTGAGGGCAGACAATTGCATTGGTGTCAGTCTTCAAAACAATCAGTTTTTTGCTTGGAAAGACAGAAGCAAATAGGTAAATGAATCTGAAAGTAAGGAAGATGAAAGAGTGTGGGGAAAACAGAGCAGACACGGTATATTCATAGGCAAGGTTTGACCAAAGATGATGAGAGTGCTATAGAATCTCTTTTATATTTAATATGTTGTATGTAGATACTTTACAAAAATCTACAGAAAGTTATCAAAAGCAATGTATTTGCAGTCCCCTGGGATGTTTCGTGTTTCATTGATTTGTTCTCATTTCATTTACTCCATTTTTCTTTCCTTATGCACCTTTTCTGAAAAATCAGTTTACCTTGTCTCAATCTTTCCCTTCTACTCACCTTCTCTTTTACCCTCCCACTGCTCCAGTCTGTTGTTCAGCTACTTGATTAGGAGTATGCAGTATTTATTTTTCTACTGAAGAGGCAAATAAGGACTGGGGAGCAAGACTGATGAATCAGTGAATGTCTGATGCTAGAGAAGCTCTTGACATATAGGCTTAATGAAGGGTGCAGGATTTAAGGTAGGAATAGGAGCTATGCTGTTTAGAGGCAACATTTTGTACCTTTCAGGAATGAAATTTTATTTTCAATGTGCTTATCTAATGCTTAAAAACAACTTCATTTGCTGCATACTAAAATATATCTTCACTTTTTATGTTGTAGATATTTTCAGATTTTCTGTTAATGGAGTAGGCATACGACTGATGCAGAAATTCTTCCATATGCTGAACTAGCAAAACACTTTAATTATGTGGAATTGTTCCCTTTACCTCAAATTTCTCTAATCCTCATTTTTTGATAATCATGAAAATGCCAATCTTTTAGAATTTGAGTTGAGAAGTATGGTGGGCATTAGATCCTTGGATCCCACTAGAACTCTCCTCACCTTTAAAAAAGTACACAGATTTAACAGCATAACTTGCAAGGTGGCCTGTTAGTGAGGCAGATTGTTATTAACAAAAGATTATGCTAGTCTAGAAATTGAATAAATTTTTATGAAACTTCTCAAAATATTTTTTCTAGCTTAAATCCATATTGAAACTTTCAGACCACTTAAAGGCTGCTAAGAAAGTTCTGTGACAATAGAAAAGCACACTCATAACCAGCAAAATTAATTGCTGCTATCAAACCTAAATTTAAAAACAGAATATTAGATGTACTTAGTTGCTTATCTTTATACTGTAGCTTCTCAGTATAATTGAGATGTTTGGATAAAATAATTTTTGTGGCAATTGAAAGGCCAGTGCTTCAGGCCAACAAAAATATCTATACACTTCTTTTATTTGTCTGCTGGAGTAGTAAAACCCTTCAAGTGGTATTCAACCAACAGGGAGTCATTAAACCCTTGTGATGTATGCTTTACATATTTCAAGAAATTCTGAGTTAAGATTTGCTATGCTTTCCTGCTTTATTTTATGTAACTACTTAGAAGCAATTGTGATGAACTGACAAATTGTTTCCAGTATGCAAGAGACTCAAATAACAAACCCACATCTTGAAAAGAAAATACGTTTTAAATGCTTTAATGGATATAGGGAAAATGTTCCTTGAAGACTGTAATCAGTTAAATGTTTTTCAGTGCTTATGTAAAATCAAGACAAAATCTTTTTCTCTCTCTCTCGTCTCACTGTTTTTCTTAAAAGCAAGTCTGAAGCCACAGATTCTCTGGACTAGACTTGAAGTGATTTGCAAAATGCAGGATTGCTCTCAGATACTTGTCTTTTGTAAAAGGCTGCCTAGAAATAAAAAGAACACAAGAAAAACAGATTTACTATACCAACCAAAATGGTTTGTCGTTACTTCCCGACAGGATTGTTGCTGTGAACAAGCAAAAGGTTGCCTGTCTAATTATATGTTGAGATGTCAAAATCAGTCATAATTTGGAGGAGCTAGGAAAGATGAGTGATGAAGACATCTTTTTTCACTGAGGTGCTGAGCTATTCTGGCAATTGACTCAGGTCTCACAGGTTACTTTTATTTCTACTCTATGCTTTGCTCTCATTCCACTTTCTTTCCGTCAATAACTAGATTAACTAACCAAAGCTTTCTCTTGTACAAAACTCTTGGGATAAACATTGGTGACACAATTATGCTGTACTCACGTTTCACTGGCACTTTGGCCCTGAAGTTACCTGTGAGAGTTTGCATCGAGACACGCAAGTTTTATATTCTGCTGCCTTCTGAACCTCCTCATTGTGGCATCACATTATCATCCAAGCAGGAGTGGATTTCTACAGCAGTCGCAGCAGCTCCAGTCTCATCGCAACTATTTTCTTTCCCCAAAGAAAGATCACTGTTAACATCTTCAGTTTCTTCTGAAAGACTATCAAGAATATGGTTTTTGCATACTATGGCGCTTGAAAGAACATTATTGAATTGAAGCCTTACATGAAGAGTTTGAATTCAAAGAATGAGGGGTTTTTTTTCTTTTGAAATTGCACCCTTAATGGAATGTTTTAAAGAATTTTGTTTATCTTAAGAAGTCAAAATCTCACTGGAAACCTGAAAATATATTTATCAGGATAACATGATACTCATATATAAAAAAATTTTATCACTCTATACTTAAATGTTTTATTAACATTTCATGAACTTGTAAAGTGCACATTTTGCAGTTTGGAATTTCAAATAGTCACAGAGGTATTTTGGTCATCTCCAGCTCAAAATCTACTATATGCTGGTTTTTTGTTTGTTTGCCACAATGTATTTTTCATGTTTAAGCTTAAAATAATTCTGTTGTTTTTTATGACCTTGTTTACTGTTTCATCTACTTGTATATGTTGAAACATGGTGTTCCCTACTGTTGCAGAATGAATCCAGAGAGCATATTGTTGCCTTCAACATGTTAAATTACAGAGCATGCAAAAATCTTTGGAAATCTTGTGTAGAGCATCACACATTTTTTCAGGCAAAGAAGTCACTACCTCATGAAAAAAAGATATTATCACATTATTGGACTCTGGGTTCTAGAAATCCAGCAAAGTAAGTATTGTGTGAAAGCACGTTTTGCTCTATGATGGGAATGGGAGGATTTGTGTCAGTAGTAGCTCAAGTTGGAGTGGCAGAGTTCAGTCCTGACAATAGCTTTGTTGCAGTCTATGTATGAACCATTTGACAAGTTATATGGTTGTGGTTTCGCTTTCTGCAGTGTGATCTCCTTACAATAGAACTTTTCTTATAATTGCCTCAAAAGGTGTTTGGATCTAAGTTTTACTACTATTTTTTCAACTTGTTGCTTCAGTCTGAAGTATAAAAACACTGGAAAGGAAAAATGTCCTGTAGCTAATCATCCAGTAAGAGAATTTGCAGAACAGATTTGTTTTGAAGTGTTTAGCCATTAGTGTCATGTACTCATTCTGTTTAATATGTTAGGGCAATTTCTGGAGTGCATCACACCAACCACTTATTACTGACACAAAGATGAAAAACTTTCTCCCATTCAGGTATTCAAGATACCCCTGTTGTGACACTTCTAATCTTTCATTTCTCTCATTGGATTCTTCTAGTTACAGAGCACTAGAAACACTAGTTTCCTAGTGTTGTCTAAGATCTAGTTACCAAGAAGTAATTCTTTAGAGCCTGTGATTTTCCTAGATGAAGCTGGGATTATTCCTCCCCATATGCAGTAACTGAGCTCTATTTTCATTAAAGTTAAGCTGCCAGTTTATTGTCCAATCACATGACATTGTAAAATCCTTCTCCATTTCTTTGCAGTTGGCCCTTATTTTGGCTATCCTGTGTGACTTTCTTTTACACTGCTCTTTTATTTTAGGGGCTTTTACATTTTTTTGACAAGTATCAGTCACAGCGATTTCTTCCATTATGTTCATTTGTTCTGTTGTTACATTTATCAGTAATGCAGCTACAAAGATGTCATGTCCTGTGTCTTCAATGTCTCATCCATCCCCTCCTAATCCTCCTGCCCCACCCCCAAAAAACATTGTGTATTGAAACATACTAAAAATATTTCGTATTAATAGTGAATGAAAAAGAAAGTCTTATATAATTTTCCTCTCTGGATGTGAGATTCTGGGGGGATTCTTTGACCCTTGGATGATCTGTAGATGCTCTAGAAACCTGCTTGTTCTCATGATTTTTGGAGAAGTATTTTATTGTTTTCTTTTTGTTCATGGGTAATGTGTTTTTGTGAGTTTTTTGTAGTGTGTTCTCCTAACAGTTTAACTTTACATATAATTTGTCAGACTGATTTTCTGTCTTCTATTGGATAAGTTTCAACTTCTGAATGATATCAACATGCTTCAAATGGCTTCTCAGATTTTGATGGCTTTCTGACATTTCACACTCTGATGTCTCTTGATACTGCAGAAATTAATACCAAGTGCACTGGTATTGCTTATAAATGAAGCCATTAACCCCTGAGGGCAATGTAGGAATTCTGATAAAATGTGCTTTCTGCTGGAGTACAATTTCATGTTTTCACCTAGTACTAGATCATAGCTGGATGCTCTCTTTTCTAAATCATGGGGAAAAAAAAAAGTAGTTGAACAAACAGTATTCTAATTTTATAGCATTTAAAAAAACCCCTATTTTTAGGATTAACTCATTTGTGGAGTGTTATGACCTTGTTTTTCCTGAAGTGGAGGTGTTGAGGTGATTCAGAGTTTGTTGGATTGTCAGGTCCTGGAGTCCTTTATTTCTTTCAAATTTGCAAAGAGATTGAAAATCCTGTTCCTCCTACAGGACAGATATATATACACAGGTATTCCACAGCCTTTGTAATGGTAAGAAAGAAAACAGTATGAGTTCCAAAGGGTACCAGTTTAGTATCATTTCATCTTTTTACCAAACATTTTATTTTTGACACATCCGCTGTTACAGTTTCTTAGTAGTCTGTAGCATACAGGACAGTTCTCATTGTTGATCTGAAATACTAAAAAATAATTATTTTCAAATAATTTCAATGCTCTGAGACATTGTCTCTACTGAGTTCCTTACTTCTAAGGAATCTCCAGAGGGAGAATCAGTTATGGAGACACCTTCCATCAGCTTAGGATAACCTCTTTGGCCTTATTTATACCAGCAGTAAGCATGAATTTTGGGATCTACATAAGGAAGAAGTAACTCAGCAACCATTGCTGTGAAAGGCTCCTTAACTGCAGGAGAAGCAACAGTAATTTTGAAAAGCTTTGAGTAGTTCCTATGAACTCAGCAAATTATTTTCTCAAAAGATTTAAGAAAAATGGTGAAAAAATCACTTCTGAGGTCATATTTCACATATTGAAAATTTTTACTTTCTGACTTCTTTATGATTGTGGAATGTTGTAAGATTTTCCATGTTCTTTTTCAAGGATGGCTCTGAGCTCATGTGGAAGTTATACAACCAAAAAAGAGATTCCGCATACTCTCTTATGAAAGGGAACAAATTTTTGCATTGTATAAATGAAACAAACACAGACAAACCAAACCACAAAACCAAATGCGCACACAAAAGCTCCACTGACCACAATGTGCAGTCCTGGAGGTTTTAAGATTGATCATATTCAAGAATTATTTTCATGCAGCTTCCTTCAGCTTTGGAGGGTGTGACATTCAGGTTTTACCATCTTAAGTATCACAGGTTTTCCTATGGAATTTGTGGCTTTCTTATTCTATATTCTTCTATACTTATTGAGGCAGATAGCCTGGCATTTATTGCATCAGTTCAGATAGTGGCAGTACTTGAGTTACAATTTCTTATTTGCACATACCTGTGCCCTTCTTTATTCTCTTAGCTTAAGGTACTAGAAGCATTCTATCTCTTAGGCTGCTGAGTTGTATAAATCACCTGTAAGCCCTGTTCAAGGAACAGACTGAATCACATCTCCCAGATTCTGAGAGGTAAATTCTGGACTGAACGCTGAATAACCTCTCCTAGACACATTCTCATTCCTTGTTGAAAAGCTAAAAAATGTTTCTGTAGTTTTCACCAAGGATAGCCTCAGAAATAGATAGCAGAAAGGAAGCATCATTTCCAGATAGTACAGCCCATTCCAGAAAGGCTTTGGCAGCCTCCCAGAATGTTTGCTGAGAAATATGCTGATATTTGGCATTTGAAGGGCAGCTACTTGAATTCAGGAGATTATTTATCTTCTGTGCCTTAATTGAAATATCTAGAGACATACTCTATAAGTGATTTTGTGGTTAGGATTAGGGGTTTAAGATTAGAATTAGGGTTTAGGGTTCTGGCTTCCATCACATGAGTTATGTTGCACTTCAAGTTGTCTGTGTTGGAAAATGCTTCAACAGCCACTTGTAAAAATGAAAAGCTTATTAATGTGGAGTTCTTCGCAATGCATTTTTCATAACACATCATCTTTTTCCAGTCTTTCCCTCTGCTCCAACTATGTAAGGCTTCTTTGAAATACATCTGTTTCTGAATATGATGAGTAGCTGGTACCTTGTCATTGTATTCAAAAGTCTTAGAAAAATAAGATGGGTAGCATAGCCAAAAGCTTCTCCTGAGTTGATGAACTTTGTTGACTAGGCATGGACACATACATGGGTATTGTAGTATGTAGATGCTTCATACTAAGTTTTTCCTCTGTTTTCTATACTTGGAGAAGCTTTTAAAGTACATTTAGAAGAAGGAGGAGTTGATTTCCTTGAAAATCATGAACAAGATATATGAAATACTTCAGTATATATGAAAAAAAATATGGGTTGCTTTTTCTTTTACTTATATTAGCAATAAGTAATACAATGCAAAGCATGCTTAAGGTTTGATTTTAGCATAATACCCACAGCTTTAGTAGCATTTTTATTTTATTTTTTTTTAAATGCTATGTAAAATTGAGACTTTTCAACTCTGTAGTAAGATCCTTACTTAGCCTGCTTGCCCAGCTGTCCATTTTGTACAGTTCAAGGCTTAATAGGCCAAAAATGTTTTCTCTGCAACTAATAAATTGTTTCTTCCATGAGAAATCCTAGGCCTGTAAACCTAAGGGTGAGCAGCTTATCTCTCAGCTTGACTTGTGGAACGTTGTATAAAATGATGCGTAACAGTTAGTTTATCTCAATTTCAGTCTACTTAAGATTTTCTTTGTGCTGTGTATTTTGACTATTAAGAGACTTTTACTTCTTTCCTGGCTGTGATTCTTATCTTGTTGCAGCCCTTCTCAGATTCTTGTCAAAAGAAGCAGTCCAGACCTGGACATCCTATTTTCCTGTATTTTTTTTTTTTTGAATAATTTATCGCTATAAGGAATACGTCACTTAAAGGTGGCTTCCTTCCACAATAGAGTGTTGTCTGGTTTAGCTCTTAATTGATGAGGCAGCCGGTAGAGGGTAAAGTTGTCCTGTGCTCAGTGAAGTACCCCTTTGTGAATATTAACAGGGAAGCTTCAGAACATATTACCTGTATTTGAACTGTGTTTTGTCAGGCACTCAGTTCAGTGCCAGTAGGACATACTGAATTTCCTGTTTTCCCCTCTGTCTTCTTAAACACAATTGTGTTAAAAATAATTCTCAGAAAAAGTTATTTTTACCCAGGTTTGTGATAAGCAATGTAGCAGGGATTAACAATCACTTTTATTGTCACAAATGAGGGACAGCAAATGTCTCTGTGAGAACATAAATGCATAAGTAAGGAGGGGTAGGCACAAGGGGATGCTTTAAATTATGAAGCTGAATTTCATAAGCATATTTTATTTCATTTAAGTTTTCTGTGCAAAATAACTCACATAAAGCTGTTTTATATCTTTTCAGGTCTGTAAACAACCAGTACTGCAGAAAAGTGATAGGTGGGATGGTTTGGAACCCATCTATGAGACGATCCTTATCAGTTGAGCACCTAGAGACCAAAAGCCTTCCTTCTCGATCACCTCCTGTTACCCCCAATTGGTAAATCCATTTTCAGCCTTTTCCACACCTTCTAGCCTCCTACCGTTTCTAATTGTATGTGCTCTAGCAGAGTAATTATGTAGTGTGTACATATATATTTAAAAATTTTTATTCTGAGAATATATATGACAACAGAAGGGTGGGTGTCACCTCAACTTTAGCAAGGCTTTCATGCTGTCTGCCAAAAATCTTTTACCCAGGTGAAGACATTATGTTTCTGGATGGGTGGTTAAAAAAAAAAAAATATTCAAATGGTTAGATGACTGGACTAAGAGGGGAGTTGTTAATGGGTCACACTCTACCTGGACAACAATAAAAAGGAGATGACTGCAGGGGTTGCTCTTAAGACCTGTCCTGCTTAACCTCTTTATGACCTGGAGAAGGCAATGGTATGCTTGATCATAAAGTTTGCAGATGGCACCAAACTAGGGGGGTGAGTCAATAAGCCTGGGGCCAGGGCTGCTCTCCAAAGTGATCTCAATAATCTGGAGAAATGGGCCAATAGGAAATGTATGAACTTCAACAGAGACAGACATAGTGCCCTGGGAAATAAGAACCCAGTGTAACAGTACTGTCTGCAGTACAGCTTTCTGGAAAACAGCCTGGTAATCTTTATAGGCAGAAGTGGTACATGAGCCATCTGATATGCCCTGACAGCAAACAAGTCCAACCTGGCAGAATTGACAGAGTTGTAGATAGTAGGTCAGTGGAAGTGGTAGCCCCTTTTGGCCCAGCATTCTCTAGATTTTATTAGAATGCTGCAGCCCTTTTTTTCTGCAAATATAAAACAGACACAAACTGGAGCAAGCTCAGCAAAGGCCACCAGTTCCAAGGTAGTCAGGAGGTTGGAGCACTACCCTGTGAGGAGAGGCTGACATAGTGGCACATGTCCAACCTGGAGAAGCAGGGGTTGCCCAGATGCCTAATAACAGCCCAGAATTACTTAGAAGGAGGCCAGGTTTTTCACCATTGCGTAGTGGGATAATGGGGCAACAAGTAAATATATGTTGAAATAAAGGAGGTTTTGTCATGATATAATGGAAAAACTGCTTCACCACGTGGACAGTCATTGCCTGGGGAAGTTTTGTGGGTCTCCATCCTTCAGATTTTTTGAGACATGACTGAATAAAGCCTTAAGCAGCCTACTCTGGCCTTAGTTGACCCTGCTTTGAGCAGAAGATTGGAATAGGTGATCCCCATTAGTCCTTTCCAACCAGAATTATCCTATGATTAAGATGTAATAATATAAGTTGCATTTTACAGGAGGAGAAACACAAATGAGTTCAGTGCACTGAACCTAGCAGTGTATGATTGCCTAGTATACCTTACAGAATGCTTAAAAATTGATTATTTTGAATTGAGACTTACAGGCCTGGTATGAAGATTCAGATCATAACTACAATAAGATAGAAGTTTTTCTTTTATGAAGTTTCATGAAATATTCTGATCTTCCTGCTTGTGTTTGTATTCTGTATTTTTAAGGCGGAGTCCTAGACTGCGTCACGAAATCCGCAAACCACGGCACTCATCTGTAGATAACCTTACGAACGAGATTAGTTATATTACTGAAACAGAGGATGTCTTTTACACATACAAGGGCTCTCCAACGTCAAAGGACAGTGATTCAGAGTTCTCTCAGAACCGTAGTCCACAGAGGAGGTAAGGTCTTCTGCAAACAACCCATTGCCTACTTTGATTTTTTTAAAAGCATCAAACAAAAAACCCAAAGAGCTGTAGTGTGAAACAGTCACAATCAGTTGTAATGCTACAATGAGTTCAAACATGCATAAGCTTTATTTTCACCAATTGCTATACTGCAAATGCTATGACACAAGATGCAAGTCAAAAGCATACCAACCCTTCATCATTAAATAATACATAGTAGTTGAGCTATTAGTAAAATTAGAACTACTACTAAGGCATGTATGTTCAAATCTGTAATACCCTGTTTCCTAGTAGCTTTTGCAACCCTTTCCTACCTGTCAGAAAGTCCTTTTTGTGGGGAGAAAGACGTAGTGAACTCTTTTGAGAGTTCAGTCATGTTCCACATCATCATCTCAGCCTTGTCAGTTGAAAGAGGTATTGCATTTGAGTATACACAAGAACTTCATAATGCTGGTGGTCATCCATCTTTTTCTTCTTCAAAGGAACTGTCAATGGCTTGTCTAAAGGCAGTGTCTGCTTTTTGGCTGTATTCCTTGAGGACCTACTTTGTTTCCTCTGCAGTGCCTTAACAACTGCTAGGTTTGCTGCCAGGAGTTGGAAGCACCTGTCTTTGTGCACTCTGATTATTTGTTTGTTCATGTATTACATTATATGTATGGCTACACCCATTTCTTAATGAATATCAGATTATCACAATATCAGCTTCAGAAATAATGTACAAAGTCATTAATTGTTCAGTCTCAAAAAGAAAATGGCTGCTTTAAAACGTACAGCTGGGGAGAGTGCTACGTGTTGAAATGCATGTTCCTTTGTAGCACTGCAAAAGAAATGGTTTTTAGTGATGCCTAGTGACTTTAAGGCAAGGTGTATTTTGAGAAGCAATGTCTTAATGGAAGTTGATAGGACTCACCTGCCTCTGTGACAGTGTGCAGGAACTAAATATAGCTTTAAATTGTGATTGAAACTATTTTCTTTAAACAGTTCTATAATAATATTATTGTGACATTATAGCAGAGAGTTTTCAATTTAAAAAAAAAAGGAAAATTGATACGTTGTATGCATATTTGGACTTTGTCACTCTTTTGAGTATATTAAGTGTTTGGAGTTTGTCACTTAATTTTTCTATATTTCTGACTGGAAAGCAGCTGAACCTTAATAGTACTTGTTAGTACTAATAGCAGTAGTAGCCATGGTAATACATAAAATTTAGGCCTTTAGATTTTGTGAATAGTCATAGATAGGAAACGATGTCTTTGCTGTATTTAAAGTTTGCAGATGATACACTTTTAGAAATATTTTCTGAGTAAAAATACTGAGAGGCAAACATAAGAAGAGGTGATGAAGGTAGAAGCTATAGACAGAACATGCTGTGTTTTGTGACTGGCAAATTTTGTCCTGCCAGCTCATACATTGTAGTACTTCTTTTATTTTCCTTTTTCTTTTCTTCCCCTGTAGTTTTTCTTTCCTTCCTGTTTCAGTTACCTTACACCTACTGAGAATGGAGTGGAAATGCCGGCCTTCAGGCCTTTTCTCAGACAATGAAAAAAAGGATGTTCTAAATTTGAAAATAGCACATTCATGTATTTTCTGAACCCTAGTGACTGTGCTGAATCTTAGTAATAACACTCACTGTGGAGATTTTTACTGTTACTACCACATATAAATCATTGCTTTTTTTCTTATATCTTATCCCAAATGCACTATCAGTTTTTTGGGTATGATTATATTTTATACTCTGCAGGTAAATTAAAAAATGCCTGCATAAATATGAGTAATTAAATTCAACTTCTGTGTTTTGGAAGAAGAATTAAATAAATGATCCTTTGTTGTATTGACTGTTAGATTTTTGTGAAGTAAAATAGTCATTAATAATTTCCTTTTCAACAACTAAGGTAAAATAGTAGCCATTAAAAAAACCTCACTTTTTCTCTACACTGGAGTTTGTTAGTCCACATTCCAGTGTTTTTCCTTTTGCAATCTTACAACAGTTATTACTTACTTCACTTCCTTTGTTGAAAGATGCAAAGTGAAATTAAATATGTTTATGTATAAAATCTTTCTTTCCATGGAATGTTGTATTGATGAATAAAATCCTACCCTATCAGCTAAATCTGTTTTGTAAGAAAAAAGTTTACCTTGCATATCCTCAGTATTAAATATGGACGTTTCCCCTGGGCTTTTGCCATGCATTGAACATGTTTAACCCACAGCTGGTTATTTTTAAAGGCAGACTGATGGACTTGGCCAGGGAATTCTTTTTTACTGCAATTTTTGCTTTGTCTAGCCTGGTATAGTGCTTGAAGATTACCACTGTTGCAGGCTGTCTTGATAAAGGTACCACTACAATTTCCAAATTTGGAATAAGGAGAGACTCACAGATGTAGAGGAACAAGTCATCCTTGCTGATTTGCCTTCCCTGATACCACTGTGACCTGTATGCTACTGTGTCACTTAAGGGGAAAAGGTACAGGAGAAATAAAATAGTCATACTGAAGTATGTGACATTATTATGTATGTGACAACCAGATATTATTTCAATATCTGGTTGGGAAATTCCAAAACATCCTTGATTTATGCAGCAACCTTCAAATCAAACTTGGTTTTAACTGGGGCAGTAGACTAGTTGTTTTGGAATCATGTACTTTGGCATGCTTGATCTTTTATCAGGTATTAGGTTTTCTGCTGAGAGGCTGCACTGGCCATCCCCAGTGCAAGGTCTGGTTCTTGCATTGGTAGCTTTAAAAAAGAATAAAAATTAAAATGCAACTTAATATGTGTAGAATTCTGCATACATGAACTCTTAGAAGAAGGTAAAAGAATAACTCCTTAAAATAAACTTAAACTAGCCTGCCCTTTACCCTCAAGAAATAAGTGAAAATGTAAACTTCTATAATGATTTCACTGTGTTTTTATGTTAAGGTATTTGGTGTAAATTAAAAATGTAATTTTAAATGTTTCAATAAGACATTTTTTAAACACTTGGTGAACTTGAAATACCAAGGTCTGTCATGGACACTCAAAGCCATTGTAACCAAATACTATTTACGGATCTTTGGACTTTATTTTTTCTTGTTTTCATTTTTTCTTTCCTTTTTCTCAAGCATCTTTGGGTACATGATGTGTCATACAGATGTTCACCCTTCACTAGGCAATGAGAAATTAAAACAAACTAATGCATTTTCAAGAAATGAAAACTGAAAACCACTGTGTAGTTTAATGCTTTTAACCTCCAAGAACCCAAGTGTGGGAAGCTGCATGGTTTTCTGCCATTCTGTATGAAAGAAGAGTATACTCCATTCTTCTCTGCTCATGGACTTAAGGTTTTTATGGCTTTGTGGGAAGACCCATCTTGTGGCCAGCACCTGCCCCTTTACTGAATGTTAGTAAGCTCGGGTTTCTATAAGAAAAGAAAGTATTATGTGTAAAGAGTAATCTGTTTTGGCAGTTCAGGATAATCTTAGTCATGTTACCTGTATAGGAGTTGTTTCCCCTTTCCTTCATATGAGGAGAAGAGCTTATTTTTGACCTTGTAAATTCAGGTTTAATGTCTTGTGCTTTTGAAAATATTTTTAAATTGGTTTTTTTATATCATAGATTAAATAGTTTGGAGTGTTAATATAGCTGTTGTTTGCCCTCTTAATGCCTTTCTTTCTGTTTTTGAATGCACTTTTCTGAATGGGAAGGGTACTTGTCAGGAAGAATATATAAATTTGCATTGGTTTAACCCCAGCCAGCAACAAAGCACCATGCAGCCACTCGCTCATTCCACCACCAATGGAATCAGGGAGAGAGAATCAGAATTGTAAAAGCTAGAAAGTCCATAGGCTGAGATAAAGACAGTTAAAGAGTGAAAGCAAAAGCCATGCACAAAAGCAAAACAAAACTGGGAATTAATTCTCTGCTTCCCATGCGCAGGCAGGTGTTCAGCTGTCTCTGGGAGATCAGGGCTGCCTCACATGTAGCAGTAACTTGAGGAGACAAACTCCATTGCTGTAAATTCTCCTCCTTCCTACTTCTTTTCCTCACTTTATATTGAGCATGATGTCATATGGTCTGGAATATCTCTTTGGTCAATTGGGGTCACCTGTCCTGGCTGTGTCTCCTCCCAGCCTCCCAAGCACCCAAAACTTCCTCACCAGCATGGTAGTATGAAACTCAGAAAAGGCCTTGGCTCTGTGGAAGCCCTGCTCAGCAATAACAAAAATATCTCTGTTTTATCAGCCCTGCACAAATCCAAAACACAATTCAGCACAAATCCAAAACAGGGCCCTATACTGGACACTGTGAAGAAAATTACCTCAGCCAAAACCAGCACAGTATACAAGGTGCTAAAGAGAAAAAATAACTGACTTATTGGCTTGGAAAAGTAACCTGATAAGCTGTGTGGAGGAGGGTCTTGTTATCTGATTTGTATTCAGTTTCTCCTGTTCACCATGTAATTAAATAAACTGAGCATGTCTGTTTGGTTTGGAACAGCAGATTGTGTAGGAGCAAGTGTTTTGGTACTTTTTTAGAGTATATTTGCTGGCCTAACAGAAAAGATTAGTGAAATTTTCTGTCTAACCAGAAAGAAGATTATTGTAAAACATATTTCTAAGTGATAAGGTATAGTAACAGTCAGCAAGAAAAGCTTCCTGACAGGTGAAATGATATAGATCGTGTATTTAGAGTCATACATTGATTGATGAGATAAATCCGGCAAGTTATTCACAGGTGCAAGCGTATGATGCATGAGAACCAGAAGGCTGGGGGAGTCGAGGAGGGTTTGGTCACACTGTTGCCTTGCTCTGCCAAAAGAGGATTATCAGGAATATAGAGCCAACTCTTCTTGGAGATGCAGAGCAAAAACGTGCGGCATTGGACGCAAGTTATAGCTCAGGAAATGCTCAAAAGATAATGGGGGTCAGGGAGGGAAATCACATTTTGATTATTTAAGCCTTTTTATGCATCAGCAAAAAGGTGGAGTTATTTCCATCCTTGGAAAACCTCTAAACACAACATGGCAAGGACCCGAATACCCTCATCTAGCTTTGATGTCTGTTCTTTGAATAAGAGTTTAAGTGACCTCTCAGATTCCCTTCCAACATAAATTATTTTGAGTTTGTAATTCTTGTTATAAATGCAACATATCTCTTCATAAACTTTTGTCTGAAATGCTTGCAAAGCTATAAGCATCCTTCAATTTACATTGTAGAACTATCTTTTGCTATTGATACAGATGGAATAATGTGTGCAGCCCCAGAGTTGCAGGGGAAGGAAATTAAATGATGAACTAATATACAAAACGGAAATTCACTTGCACTGTGCTATGAATTTCTGGAAGTGCACATATGTTCCTAGTGTGAGTGTGATGCATCATCTGGTGAAGGTATTGCACTGAAAATAGATTTCCTGAACGGATGCTGCATTTGTTCAATTCTTTTAGCTTAGCATTTGATAGACAATCACTGTGGCTGCATAGTGAGCTTTGGTGAATGTACTATGGGAACACATCATTAGTTTAACTAAAATATGACTTTTTAAGAGATGAAAATTTTTAAAGCTTTACTGTTGATAAAAGTACTCTTCAGATTTATCCAGCCGAGTCCCCGTAGCTACTTTTTGGGTAGAAAATTGTAAATAAGTGACACCCCCCCAGTTTTAAACTGTTATTTATCCTTAGTACTTAATCATATACAGATATGATAATTTCTTTATTTCTACAAAATCTGTTGCATTTTGCAAAGTTCTATTGTCCTTATTTGTGTAGTTCAGCCTTTCTCAAGGAAGAGATCCTAATACTAGACAGTGGAGCTGGGAATATTTCAATTAGTTTCAAATTAGAATTATAATGCTACTACTAATGGAATTTAAGTTTTACGTGCTTTTCCACTCAAATATACATGAAAATAGTACATGTATATATTTTGCTTACATGCAAAGTTTGCTTTTTAAATATATATCCTTCTTCAAATGTACTACACTTTCCTTGCAATAATTTTGCATCTAAATGGAAAGTCTCAAAGTTGAATCGCAAATCTGTGATAAGGAAAACCTTGCAGCAATCCAAGCAGTTGCTGTGTGTCAAAACACATGAAACTTTCTTGGCAAGCCAGTAAACTGGGTACAATCAATAGAGGCAATGCAGAGTAACAAAGTATCCCTTTAAGGTGATGGTAGCAGCTTACAAATGTGAATGACTGGAATTTCTAGGAAATCACTGAAAAGCTTGTGCAGGCCATGAAGTCCTCAAGTTTTCTGTACTGATTCTCTTAATTATACAGTACAAAAAACTTATGACACCTTACACAGTTATTCTCTTGACAGAGAATATTCTGTGTATAAATTCCTCTAAAAGGCAGCAGAAAGGTGTTGCTGCAAACACCTTCCACTTATTTTGCTTATGAATAAAAAAACCCAGTGTAACGGTGAGTCTCAGAAAAGAGTTGATAATGGAAGTGCTGGCATACTCACTTTCCCCAGCCCTGCAGGTGTTACAATGAAAGAAGCTTTAAGGACTTCAAGAACAGCGCAAGGGCAAAACCTACAGATGTTTCCTTCAGTTGTTTGTAAAGGGGGAGTTTTGCTACAGTGCTATTGTTTCAGTTGACCCTTTTCTCTCGGGGTTTTATTCTGCTGTAATTTATCATCCTTGGTTCTCAGAATAGCGAAATGCCCTGGTAGGTCACACCAAAATGAGGAGGAGGGGTCTTTCCTTAAAACCTTTCAATTCTGTCCTTTTGATAGAAGAGGGGAGTTAGACTTTTCAAGGCAAAGACCTATATTTAAAGGTAGTTGTCAATAGATCAATCCATACTGAGTGCAAGATTGGAATGGCATGATTTTAGTTATATTGTGAAGTGAGGAAGAGGAATTACCTGAAGTTTTGAAGTGTTTACTTGTTTGCTGCACCAATGGAAAGCTTAATCTCCTTGCAAGGAAGGGCTCTCTTCCTTGATGAAAAAGTTGAATGGCTGGTCTGGTGAGTGTTGTCTTTTATTGACTTAAAATACAGTCCTTGTATGTTGTGAAATGAGGAAGATGGCTTAGTAAACACTGTGCAACACTGTGTAGCCAAAAAAAATCACCTAGTTATTCATGTTTAAGGTATTTTATCATATTGCCGAGTAATTAAATTATAGAAATATTATTTAACTGTGTTGGAGTGCAAAATTCTGCAGCTCTAGCCTGCTGACCTACTGAGGATTTAGGAAGACACAGCTGCACTGTCTCTGATGAATTCTTTTAGATACTGAATTTGGTTGCTTTTCTTCCAAAAATATTTGGTTACCTTTCTTGCCAGTTTAAAAGGTTACAGAATTTTCAGTTAATCTTTTAGAGCTAATGTGTTTGAATTAAAGTGCAATAATTACAACAACTACATATTCATCATTAGATGTACTAAATAGTATTAAGAATTTATATCCCACATTCAAGTCTCCAAAGGTAGAGATAATGAAAAATTTACTGTAAGTTTATAGAAGTCTATGAATGAAAGCCCAAGTTGTTTTTTTTCTTTCTCAAACTGCCTTGCCTCTTTCTCTTGGGAAGGTAGAGTGGAGATAATATATTAAAACCAGGGCATTATATTGATTGTCAACACAATTCTATGTCGATAAGTTTTTAATGAAGTACTCTTGAAAGGGTTAATTCTGGGTAATTTTGATTCTGCACAAGATTTGGTAATAGAGCTGCAGGTCTCCTGTGGCAAAATGTAAAAAAGATGTACAGTTTCATTGTTCTTTGCCTTACAAGGAAATCCATTAGCTTAATGAAAATAAATTCCATGTTTCTTTATTTTTAGTGTGACTTCCTAAGGAAATAAGGCTTATGTCATTGTACAGCCCCTCTGCCTCTGTTTCCACTTGAGAATATTTGGACAATGCAATCAAATGTAATGTAGGAGATGAGTTTTTGAACATGCAAAGTTTCTCAAGATTAGTAAAAGTCAGTGACTAGGCAGGAAAAAAAATCCCAAAACTTTAAGATGACATTGTCCTCTCACTGAGGAGTTAAAGTACAACTTCAGTATTTGTCTCATTTAGATGCAGGCTGGTCAGGCAGCAGGTGAGTTTGCATTCCCATAGGATCTGCTTACACTTGGAGGGTAAAAATTCTCTGAGGATTGTGGACAAACTGAACCAGAAATATCAGTGGGTGTGTGGGAGTGGATGTCACTGGGGTCAGAAGTTAGATATGACTGCAATAACAGGGGAAGAATCTTAAAGTTTTAAAAGTATTAAAAGTACACAGAACTCACACCTCCAAAATTCCTCAGGGATCAAGCTTTACCATCTCTGCCTCTCAATGAAGAATTTCTTAATCTTGGCAAATTACATGCAAGAAACCTTAACTAGACTGATACTGGTGCTATTTTTACTGTAATTTTAGTGAAATGTAGTATGTAACTCTTAGTATTAAGGATGACTTAGAGAGCATAAGTTGAAAATTTAACTGTAGACTGTGAATGGCCTCCTATAATTTGGCAATTCAGCAAGTCTTCTTTCAAACTGAACTACTTCACATATTTTATCCAGCATGGACATATACCACTCCAGGATTTTTGGTCACTCCTTAAATGAATTTGTAAAATTATCCAATCTGCCTTAAACTTTGCTTTGTAAGCAGGTTTTTTGGTAACTTTTACTTTAAAATTCATCTTAGTAGCACTGCTATTATTTTAATTTATGCCATATCACTTAGCTTGCTGTTTGAGGTGATTTTTGATGACGTTAATTGAATGCATTGGAAAATGCTGTGCAGTGCAAATTTTGATTTCCATTCTAGATTGTCCTCATTGCTATAACCACTTCTACTTTCCTTATGCTTGGTCTCCAAGTTTTCTGTCAACACCTTCTCTGCTCTTACTTCATGAGAATAAGCAATGGAAATGTCAAGCTTCTGAAGCCACCTGCGCTCATTTCTGGCTACCTAAACATAAATATCTTGCCACATTTTAACTTTTACAAAATACAATCGGTGACATCTGTAGTCACTGTAATCCACACCTAAAACTTTCTGAAATGCTGTAGTGTGTCGGGCTAAGTGATTGCCTGTGTAAACTCCTGCATAGTTTGAGCTGCAGTAGCAGATGTGTGCTGCCTGTATTGGGCTTCTATCAAAAGCGGAAGTGAGTGATCAGAGCTGCCCTGGGATTTTTGCTGAGTGTCTCATAAACACCCTAGTTATCTGATTTAGACTTTCACCATAGGATTAAGTATTCTTTAATTTATTATAAGCACAACTTTTGGCTTTTATGCAGCCTTTTTTTTTTTTTAAATCGGAGTTTAGTTTTTGTTTTCTTGAAGATTGAACTTATGTTCATTTAATGTTGTTTTTGTGTTTGTGGTTTTTTTACCAGGTCATCTGAACAAGAATCACCAAAGTGAGTTTTCTTTATGCTTTGTTCCATCTCTTTAAGATAAATGATGAAATATATAACTTCAACTGACTTTTCAAAGTAGTGTTTTTGTATGATTAAAAGACATAAATAAATGTATAAATCAATTATGATTGTAAAGTTTTGGGCTTAAGATTTGCAAAGTTTTAAGTTGTAATAGATCTCTCATCACTAGTAACAAAAAAAGTTGATTAGAAGCTGTTACAAAAGTTTAATGACTCAAAAATCCACTGGTAATTTTATGTGGTGACTCTTTATATAGTGCCAGATGACATTGACTGAAATAATATTTTTCTGGTATTGTTAGATTTCTTTTCTACATTAAAAAATCATTACATTGGTTGTAATTTCAATTTGTAAGTGAAATGGTTTTTTGTGACTGTGTTCTGAAAAAATTATTAGGATGTATTTACATACACAGAGTTCCTTCTTGCTTAACATTGACTTCATCAGAATCATGAAAAGTCTTGGAAGCTATCAAATAAAACCAGAATTTTGACAGTGTAATTATATTCACTACTTCAAAGCATTCTGAAACTTTTAATGCATTCAGAAAGTGCCACTTTCTGTAGTAACTGAAAATACTGCATGAAACACCTCATTGCCATTGCCAAGTACACACGGTCTAAGTGAAAGTATTATGGCAAGAATACATTTCCTTGATGGCATCTTTCAGGACATTTGCGTTTGTTGTGATCAGATTTTCACAGGCCAAAAAACAAGTGGCTGCAATATCAAAGTTTGCTGCAATACAGGTCCTGTATGTTAAAAGCTACACTCCTTGGAGTGTGGAATTACTTCTTGATTGACAGCTCAAAATGGCTGCTGGAAACGGCTCAAAAAAGCTCACATATATCGACAAATACCAAAGCAGAAATAAATGTTTGAATTTACAGATTTTAATGCCAAGGTTTACTTGGCAAGACATGTACTTCTTTAACACTGTCAAAATGTGATGTTGCTGTACCTTGAGCTTTCCCCAAGGCAGATATCTTCACATTAGGTGGTTATAAGGATGGAGCAGTTAGTCTGTATGGTATCCATGAGTTTGGTGGAATTAAAGAAGGGGATTGGTTTTATGAGAGGTCTGCGTGTCATCCTTTACATGAGAGGGAATGTAGCTAAATGAATGTTTGGGAACTCCTGGAGAACCATCAGGCGACTTGGCCACTTCCCAGATTTGAGGGTTTTTGTTACTGACTTGTTATCATTGAATGCTAAAGTTCTTGAATGCCAGATCTGTACCCTAAGTTAGTTCTGAGTCCTTTTGTGTGGCTATAACTACCTCAAAAATACAATACTTTTAACTGCAATTAAACCTTTCATTGTCACTTAATTTCCTATTTCTCTGACAGTTTACCCGGCTTTTCTGCAAACTGTCTTCTCCCACAGGGATAAGGTTGACATGGCACTTGTAAGATGGAGGTGTCTTTAAAAAAAACTACATGCTTTTCAGGAATGAGAGTGGAATCACAGCAAAATATTTTTCATGGATAAAATTGGCAACTGAAGTGCCTTTTCCTTGCGGCTCAGCCCTCTCCATGTGTTACTGTGAATTCCTGTACCACTGCAACAGTGCCTTTCACTGCTAACATCCAAATAATGTGCTTAAAATGATTTTGCTATTCCAGAATTTTTGAACATTTTTCTGCATATCCACTGATCAAATGATAGGCTTAGATCACACACCAATCCTGTTTCCCTGCAGTTCTACTAAGAAGTGATGTTAAATCTTTTAACTCTTAGAACTTGCTCTTTTTAAATATTTTCATTTAAAAATCTGGATAACAGTGCCTTTATAATATTTATCCTTTCAAAATAAAGGAACGTGTTGGGAAACAGTCCGACACGGAGCTCTCTGACCCGTCTCTCGCCTAAAGCCTTGGCTCGGTCTCCCAATGGAGTTGGCAACATTTCTGGCTCTTACCCATTGGAAGGGGTGGATAAGCAGTTCCTAGAAACGTATGACAACGTTACGAAAAGCAGCTCGACGGAAGACTCCAGTCAGTACTACTGCGATAAGGTGCGTGCACTTGCGTGTCAGAGCTAGCAGTGAGTGTGGCTTCGAGCTGCAGTTTGAGAATGTGCAAAGTGGTGGCTGTATTTCAGGATGGACATATTTTATGTAGTAATGAGAGTAGATCTCATGTTGCTACTCACCTTTATCCAAGGTTGTGTGATAGACAAGCTTAACAAGTGCATTGGTTTCCAAAGTGTCCTGTGTTCTAGAAGTTTCAGGGAAAGTTCCTAGTGGAGTAGAAATCCTTACATGATTAAATCTTGTTTCTTCCAAGGGAAAAGTTGCTATCTGTCTGAAAAGCAGAAACAGCTCTGCTTTATCCCAGGCATCTCTTAGGGATGGCTAAACATCATCCTTTTGAGTTCTGACATGGCTGGAGAGCAGCTGCTCCCTGCTAACATTATGGTCATGGATCATTCTTCCCCAGCCTGTTCCAGAGGGGTTCTGGCTAAAAGTGGGAACTTGCAATTAATTAAAACAACTGATTAAAATTAGTTAGAATAGTTCTGTCATTTCCAACATGTCTGTTGGCTGCTGACTCTTCTTAATTCTGCCTTGTGGATCTGTTGCATAAAAAACAAAAAACTATTTAAAGGAGAAAAGTCAAGGGAAAAATGGTAACTTCACAGTTCTTGGAGTAGAATAATTTCTGTTCATATGTTGCACCTAAGCTTTTAATGACAACAGGTTGTAACTCCAATAGGATTTATCAATTGGGAAGGAAAGTTGAGAGCAGCACTGTTAGGACAGAGCAACCAGAAAACGTTTGCTCAGATATATGTTGTTATTTTTACTATTTAACAGGTTACTACCATAGGTATATTCTACAACCATATCCTCTTCCTATTTCAGATTGGATTTACATAGAGTATTTTTGTTCAGCACTTCTAAATTTGGATGCACTGTTTTCTAATTTGCTGGTATTTTCTTCTAAAAATCAGAATATTTTCTTTCTTTTTCTATATATTGCAGAATGACCTAATTGAGGGAGATTTACTTTTGGTGCGTATCATACCAGATGAAGAAGGGAAGTTTGGATTTAATCTAAAGGTAAACAGCTGTCTTTTAATTTTTAAATGCTTTATGGCTAAGATGTTTTTACTTCATAATTTTTAAATTTTTTTTAGTTTAACGAGAAAGCAGTCTATTTTACAGGAATGTCCTATGGACAGAGCTTTTAGAAGTGGCAGCCTAATCCTTAAGTGCTAAAGCAATGCTTACAGAAATAAGCCTCTAATAGTTCTCTGGTTTTCAGTTGCATGTATTATGGGCATGGCACATATCCAAGGCTGCTTAAATATTAACTCAGAAACCTAATTTAAGGCATTGACTTTTGGAAAATTTGACCTCTGTATTATAAAAAAAATAAAATAATTTGTGTGTTCCATTTAATTATACCCATTAGAAATCATATTGAAAATTTGAAAACTAATTTGTGAAGAAAATTTAAATTAGTATTGATAATTGACTTTTGTAAATGTTTTACATTCCCTCCCTGAAATTCCATTTAAGCAGAGTATTATAAATTTGCCATAATATCAAAATTAGAGTAGAGTTTGGTCATTTCTCCTTGGCTGTTTATTGGTGAGGTAAAGAGACTTGAAGGAGTACGGTTGTCTGGAACTTTGATCTTACCAGATTCCTTGCACATTTGTCACAAAATCTAAGAAAACTGGCTGCCTTGGAATTTCATATGTTGAATTAGGCTTGCTTCAAGCACAGGGTTACAAAAAATGTTCCATTTTATCTGTTTATGCCTATTAAAATGTATGGCCTGAAAGAGACACCCAATCTAGTTTACTGGAAATTGGTACATTTAAGGACATCACATCCTACCCTATAATTCCCCATTTACTGAAGAAAATCCAATCCTACCAACCCTGTCCATGATGACACAGCATAAAAAAAAAGTATATATATATATATATATAAAGAAAATAAGCAATTAATTCTTTTAAATGCTGCTTATGCTTAATGATAAATTTATGGTTGCTATTTACTTGACATTCCTCTAGGGTGGAGTAGATCAGAAAATGCCACTGCTGGTATCAAGAATAACTCCAGGATCACCTGTAAGTAAACTCTTGAGGTTTTTAATCCCTTCCATTGCTCAAAGGTCTGTACACATAGAAATTTGGACACGTGTAGCCAGTATGAGATAGCAGCAGAACTGTTCTCGTTAGGAATTGGTTTAACCAGTGATTTCTTAAACCAAAGATTAAAAAATCTGGAAAAGTTTGTCAAACCAGATATAAGTAGAAAGTATATTTGTGTTCTCCTGTCATCTCAAAAAGTGCATCCTGAACTGGAAAATGCTTGAAGAGGGGCAAGAACTGGGGAAAAGGAATATCATTTACTGAAGAAGTAAATAATTTGGGCCCCTGCCCCCTAGAAAAAAATAGCTGGTTCGAAGGAGATGTAGTAGGGATCTGCAAGATTAGGAGCACTGTGAAAAAGGAATTCCAGCAGAAATATGGACTACTAAATTGAGAATTAAGTTTGTGAAGGTCAGGTTCTTCATGTTTGGTGAAGTAGTTCTTTGTGCAGAAGATAGTAGACCTGTGAAACTCCTTGACAAAGGATGTGTGGTTAAAATAATTTTGTGTGTGGTCAGGGCAGGACAAATACTTGGGGAAAAAAGCTATTGTTAATGACTAAGCTAGCCACAATAGGCTGAGGAAATCCTTAGGGCTAAATTTATTTATAGGATGGGAGAGGACTTGGCAGGAGAGAGGGAGCATAAAAAGGGAGCATCTGTTTGCTCTGTTCCTATTTTGCCATAGACTTTTTGCTTATGGAAATATTTATAGACTAGGTGAAATGTTTATAAGAATCAGCAGAGTCATTGAGTTCTGTTGAATTGTGAAATAATAATAGGAACATAAAATCTTTTTAAACTTTTTTTCTAAATAATTATTACATAAATTTGTGAGGACAAATGTTATATCAAATATTTCACTTGCCTTTTTTCCAAACTATATTTCCTAACTCTCATAAAATAAATTCAGTGCAGACTTGTTAGGAAATATTACTGACTTAATCCTAAAAATACAGTGCACTCTGAATCTTCTGACTCTTCTGAAATTTGATAAGCAGTCACAGGACTTATATCTAAATGTCATGATGCTAATCCAGCTGAAACAGATTGCTTGAGAAGTTATTTTTTTGTCACATTTATTATTTTTGGTCTGACTTACACATTTCATAGCACTCCTTTATGAACTATAATCATTATTTGAAAAAATGTTTGGTAGGAAATTATAATTATAACTTACATCTAGGAATTGAAAATAAAACAGTTCCTAAGACATTTCATGGTCAACCTAGCAAATATTCTAAGGGTGATTTGAGATTCTGAAATTATATAGGGCAAACAGGCTCATTCTGCAATCAGAGAATGAAAGATGTTTCTCCAGAGGCAGTCATTTCTTTTGGAAGATTCGGCTGATCTTCTGGAATGTATTGATCTGTATTTTTTTCTCTTGGATTGAAAAAGTGCTGGACTTCCAACTTTAAACACTTCATTAAGTGTCTCCCTTTGGTGTCATAGACATGGACAAGAGTGACCAATTATCTCTCTAGCCTAGTAAACCGCCAAGTGAGCAAGTTACCAGGATTGCAGAAAAAGAATTGGAAACAGCTATCCAATATATAACACTCAGTAGCAGTGTTAGGGAAATCATGTCATATTATAGCAAGAGGAAAATAATATACTTATTTTTGGAGAATAGCAGTGTTAACATTGATTATATTGTTTTCGATAAACAAAATTTTAACTGTTATTTACTGTTTAATGAAATGTAGCTGATATTTCAAAGTTCAAATTTGAAGTCTCTGGAATGCATTTTGATATTGTTTTAGCTCAGTTATGCCTTACCTTCATTTCTCCTATTTTAACTTCCTCTGGATTCACTCATTACCCTGTAAACTGTCTTCAGGGATGCTATTCGGTAATATTATTTGCTAAGATGATTTCTCAGGTTTGTAGGTCACCTTTTTCTCACTTTCCTACAAAAATATGTGTATTTTTTGTAGAGGAGGGGAAGCAAATCTACTCCGCAAAACAAGGCAGCATTTTCCTTTTCACATCCTTAAAAAAAATCTTTTAATAAAGCAGCAATGTAGTATGCTGGGAAAATTGAAGGATGGAGTATCCAAAATTTTTGTGAAAGCACATTTTCGTGAAAGAACAACCATTTATTGCATCTGTTTGGTTAGGGTTTTTTTTTAAATTAAAGTTCTATACAGATTTTTTCACAAGCAGTATTAATGCTCTCAGGTGCTAAAGAGGTTATTGTAGTTTCATTTAATAGAACTTTTAATGGAAAAAGAACTTGCATGCTCCTTGGAGCAATAGCAGGTGATTAGCATAAAATGACACATTGGGTGTATCAATAGGGCAGAGAGCCTTTGACATAAGGAATTGCCTGGAAAAGCTTGGACTCTGAAAAATCTGTAAATTATGCTTGCATAGGAGGAATTAATTCTCCTTTGAGATATATTTTATATAGTCAGATGATTCAAATAAGAAAGCTGATGCATTAACATACCACATGATTAAGAAAGTTTGTTTGAGCAAAGATATTAGTCTCCATCTGTAGTAAAGACTAATAGCAGCCAGCTGAGAAATGTAAATTGTAGGCAAATATAGGAGATCGAAAACCATTCCTTCCCAGTTCTTGCTGACATCTTGACTCTCCTAGACTGACTTGATATGGTCTTTTTATCACCTATCTTTTCAAATATTTATATATCAGAGAGAAAAACTTAACAATATTTAAGAGTGATTCAATTAGTCATTCATAGTTACATTCTTTAGTCTTGCCTTTGTAAATTGTACAAAATATGGCAAGGGTGTTCTTAGGGACCTGTGAATACCTAATTAAATCAGTGTTGAAGAACATCATGGCTGTTTCTAATTCCCATTCTTTTTCTGTTTACATTTTTTATGAAAAAATTGTCAATCTTCCCTATCCTTCATTATCTTCTTTCCTTATTTCTATGGAAGAAGCTGGGGGAAACTATTCCTTCTTTAAATTTTTAATCAGCTTTTCTGCATGGGATTTTTTTCCTCTTGCATGCATCTTTCTTCTCTCTTGCTTCTTTCTCTTCTTTATCTGTTTTTTGGCAGTAAGACAGGTCTTAATTTTTCTTTAACTTTGTTTGCTAGTACAAAAGACTCCAAATTTATTTTCCTAATATTCTTGTCTCTTTTTATTCTGCATGCATTTTACATCTTGTTGATTTTTTTTTTGTTATAATTTCTTCTTTCCATCTCTTATTTCTAGTTGGTAATATCAATATATTAGGAGCCATTGGTGCAGGACATAATCAGGATTGGATTCAATTTTAATATCTTGTTCACAGGGGATTGGTAATGGTTGTTTGGTAGGGCTAATGATATTGGATGAATAAAGCTCAGGGAACCTGTGCTGGCTATGAAGGAAATACAGGGAACAACTATGAAAAAATAAAAACAGTAAAGATCTATGTCTCATTCATACCATAAATGAAATGAAGTATTTCTATATCACTTGTGTAGCTGGAGACTTCCTAAACAAAATAAAGATTAGGATAGTAATAATGAAAAAATTGTTACATTACTTGACACTCAAAGATTGTAGAATCCTGTATATACTTATTAGAGAAGCACAGAAAGTTGGAAGGGACCTGGAGGTCCTCTTGTCCAATCCCCTCTGCTCAAGAATCACCTAGAGACAATTGCCCCGGACCATATCCAGATGGCTTTTGAGGGCTCTGAGGTGAGAGACCACGATATCTCTGGGCAACATGTTGGAGTGCTCAGTCACCACAGAAGTGTAACTGTTTCCTGATGCTTGAATGGAGCCTCCTGTGTTTCATTTTGAGCTCTTTGCCTCTTATCCTGTCACTGAGCACCGCTGAGAGTTTGGCTTCATCCTCTCTTTGTCTTCCCTTTAAGTATTTATGTACGTTGCAAAATCCCCTTGAGCCTTTTCTTCTCTAGGCTAAATACTCCCAGTTCTCTAAGTCTTCCTTCATGCAAGAGTTGCTCTAGTCCCTTAGACCTCCTTGTAGAATCATCATCATATTCTGGCCCTAGCTTTAATTGCTTTGTGCTCGACATAGGGCTAAGCATACAGAGAACTGTGGCAGAAAAAAAGCCAAACAAACCCTGGAGTCCAGCAGTTATTCTAAATCTAAAGACTCTACAAAGTAACAAAGATATGAAATGTGTGTGGATTTCTTTGAAATTTAAAAAGTCCATGCCTGGGGAATGTCATGTTACTTAAATCATGTTAGTGAAAATTGTGTTTGGACTTCTTAGTATTCGCTGTATAGAAAGTGAACTGGATTATCTCATGTGCCCAAAACACTCCATCCAGATATTCAGAGGTTGTTGAGGCTTGGAGTCTGAAATACAGATCTTTGAGAGCAATCTGATGATGGCTGTTTGATTAATGTGAATGCCTTTTAAAGCTATCAATATGTTGTTTGAATTGTTTGTTCCTTATTGTCAGGGAGAGGCTTTGAAGCATGAGAGCTTTAGAGCTGAAACCTTTGACAGAACCTCTGATACAGAATATGAAATGTTGCCAGGAGAACGGTGAAGACTTTGCTTACATGATGTACTTAATATCTTGAGATGTTCCTGCTTGCACAACTGGTTGTGATGACATTAATATGTTTCTTTGGTCTTGAAACAGGCTGATAAATGCATTCCAAAGCTGAATGAAGGTGATCAGATAGTATTAATTAATGGCCGAGATATCTCAGAGCACACGCATGACCAGGTGGTCATGTTCATAAAAGCCAGCAGAGAATCTCACACAAGAGAGCTTGCACTTTTGGTCAGGAGGAAAGGTAACTGGGCTAATTTTATTCACTTCTAATGTTTTTGAGACTGTTGCTCTTATGCTTGGTGGTGTACTCTCTTCTGTTTGCATAAACATGTTCTCAGTGCTCTTGGAATAGGTTTGTGCAAAGAGTAGGTCTCACTAAATTTGAATTAGTAGTACAAGTAGTTGAAACTATGTAGGTTCTTACCACAGCTACAAAGAGTCTTGCAAGTTAGAATTTTTTCTTACTTTTTGTTCTAAAAACCTATGTGAATAAATAGTCCCTTGAAAACAAATTTTTAGTGACTTGGGGTGTTGGTATTTTTTGTAAATAAAACATAATTTTAAAGCCCCCCAACTGCAGATTCACAAAAACTCATGGGCTGTTCCCCTGCACAATTATGTGATGAAACAATCAAATAAGCTGCTCCTCACTGCATTCTTGCAGTAGACATTTTGTGACGATACTGAGATAAACTTGTTCTGGTTGCTTGCAGAACTGCTGCCTGCAAAGAGGAGACAATCTTTGAAATATGCAGGGTCTTAAACCTGTTTAAAAATGGAAAATTCATCCAGCTTGACATTGCTTGCTCCATATTTAAACACCTGTAGATCCCAATCCCCCATCAGATGATGTCAAACTGTTAATTTGTTATTTGCTTTCCTTAAAAGGTATGGTAAGACATTAGCACACACAATTACACAGAGTTTCTGATTGCATGAAGACATAAAAATCTGAAGGGATTAGGCATTACTAGGAAATAAGAGGGAATGAAACAGCCTAAGTGATACGTACTTCTGTAACATTGGCATTATTTGAAACTTCTTGTGTTTCTAAGAAGACAGATGGGCTCTTTATTTTGTTTTCCACTGGCTTTATGCAGCATTTAGTTTTCCCTTAATTTTCTAGTCCTCTTCCAACTTGCAGATAAGAGAAATCTGCTTTTATCTAAAGATGACCTGTGGCCCCATAGCAGTCATTTTTTATAGGCATGAGCATAAGCAGCTCTTCATTCTCTGGAGTTTGGCAGGTATGATGTGTTCCCATCACTGCAGAGGATAACCACAGCTGGACATGTCTGGTGATACAGTACATTTCATAGGAACAAAACTGCTCTGCAGATTACTTCATTAATGTTTGTCGTGTTCTTCAATAGCAAGGAATGTTGTAGAAAATGGACTAATAATTCTTTTTAACTTTAGTTCATTTCTTCAATGTTAGCATAAGAAATTGCAAAAGATAATTCTTTGTCTTCTCTAATGGCAAAGGAGTGTAATGAAGGGATTTTTGCCTTTGTTTTGCTGTTGGAGGTCCAAACTGATAGAAGAGTCTTGTAGAAATATTCCACTAATTATGATCTACACTTTTTTAGGTAAAACTTCCTTGTTTTTTGCCATGGTGGATGTTGTGTTTCATTAGTATATTTAGCAGTTCATTAGGTAAGAAAAGGTTGCAAAAACCTCCTTGTGCTAGGAATTCAAGGTCTTTGCCTTCATAAACAGGCATTTGGAGTTTTTCTTTCAGGAAGGTCTTAGGAACATTATACTCTTTATAGTTTCTACAGTAATATAATACAAAAAGAAATGTGATTAAATGTGTTGCTATTTTCTTTTCTGAGGTTTTGCAAACCGTTCTTATTTCAAGATGGCAAATTTTTATATCTGCTAAAAACACATTAATGCTCTATGTAATGGATTATAACTTCATACACATCTTTCAGTAGTCAAACAGTTTGTGGATCCCATATCAGAAGATGAAGCTGATTCCCACACTCTGCCAGAATCTATTCTTCCTGTCTGTTCTGAATATGGTGGTGATACACTGGAGGAGTCTATGGAGCAGCTAAAAAGAGGGCTGGAAAGTGGGACTGTCCTTATTCAGTTTGAGGTGGGTAATACTCAGATCTGTGATGCTGTTAGTGTAGAACAACAGCTGTAACCAGCGAGTAATGGAGGGGATGTAATTATTTGCAAATCTCATTGTTCCTGTTCAGTCTTATCTCAAGAGAGCAACAATTTCACTTGCCCATCAGTTTCACACATCACTACTTAGAATAGGGAAGAATGAGTTTTAAGTCTTACACAAAATACCATCTGCTGAGAAAAATGTATTTAAATTAATGTGTTTCTGGCTCAAGTAGCCCAAGTTCACTAAATCGGTATTTTTTTGCAGTTATTTAATTAGGTAGACTAGTGGGATTTTGACAGTGGTCAGTCTTGTACTTTGTTTCCTTTTCTTTGTTCTTCAATATGTTAGCAAGGAAGGTCAGAGAAAACTAGCTAATAAAATATTTTGTATTTTATTAAATTAGTTTCTTCAGAGTTAGTGTAAGAAATTCCAAAGGATAATTCATCTGCTTCTCTAGTGGCAATGCAGTGCAGTATGTATGTTTGTGCTTGCTTTACTGTTGTAGATTCAAACATTTGTAATAGGTCTGAATAAACCTTAGTTTATTATGATTTATAAAATTGGCATTGAGTTCTGGAGTAACCCCTTCTGTCACTGAAAACTTGTAGAACAACAATAAAATTTCTTTCTCCTTTTGATATTTTTTTTCCTTCACTGTTTATTTTTAAAGCTGGAAAATTTAATGGTAACAGCTGAAGAGCTGTGGTGTTGTTTATTGCATAAGCACTCTTTTTATGAAAATTCCTTTCTTTCTATGATTTCTGAGAATTAAAATTCCCCTGGTTTTAAGGAATTGTAGGCAGTGGTTCATAACTGCTTTCCAAAATCCACAGTACTGGATACAATGTAGTAATTACAATGAATCTGTTGGCTATTGAAGGAATAGCTCAAAAATGCGAACTGACCTTTCAATATCTTCCTAATTGTCGAATTTATTGACTAAATTTGTACACAAATTTCCTGTAGTGAACTTCATAGGATATTTGATCCTTTATTATATTCTGATATATGGTGCTATGATATTCATAGGATATTTGATCCTATATTTTATCATTTTTATGGCACTATTTATAAAAGGATTTTACAGAAAAAGTGCAAAAGCTTTTTGAAATCTAATAAACTAGGGTACAGCTTAGTGGTCTTCTTGCTTTGAGTTTGTTGTTTAGTGATCTTCAGAAGCAGAGGCAATGGCAGTGTCTCCTTTTCAGCTTTGGTGACTCAAACTCTTCATTCACTTTAATAAAATAATAAATAATTAGCCAGTAGACTGTGAATAATCAAATTTTTCCAGAATATCTTCCTCCATTTAGTCAGAATTTAAGAAGTCTGTCAATAGCAAGTGATAGTTTGCCAGGCAACAGTGAAGCTCAAGAATGGTTACTTGACTTAAAATTATTCTTTCTTGTCTTCCTAAAAAAGGCAGAAATTGCAACCTGGATCTAGTAAAGCGGAGCTTGACTTATAACAGATAGAAGCTTTTCCATTACATATATTACTCTCTTCTCATATGGCTTGTTTATGTTGTATAAGTTGAAAAGTGCAGTGAGCTTTGAATACAGAGTTTTAAGGTCCAGCAAATCTCAGCAGAATAAATATTTTTGCATATTGCTCTTTTTCTCTTCACCAGAAAGTAGGGGATTTTAGACTCCTATTTGTTTCATTCCATTTTGTATATAGAACAATATTCAAAATCTTCATTAAACATGTGAGTTCACATATAATGAACTCTTTGGTAGGTGTTCAGTGAAGGATATAAAACTCTGGCACAGCCAAATTTAATAACTCAGTTGTAAGGTGCTTTCATGTATATTTAATACACAAAAGTTATAGTTATAGAATTACAGTTCTTGTGGGTTTGTTTGGTTTTGATGCTGTTGTTTCCCCTCTGTGCCTTTTTTTTGTCTTGTTTTGATGTACATAGAAGCAAAAGTCATTAGGGTTTGAAAAGACCTCCAAGATAATAGAGTCCAGCCATTAACCTTACACCAACTTCAAAATTTTGGTTATACATACATTATGCATACCCCATTTCATATGCCCATTTACTCCAGATAAAGTCTGCAACATAGGGGTTAACCCAAAAGCAAAGTCACATGTTAAGAGATTGTAATACATTGAAGTTGTGGTTTTTTAGGTACTTGCAGGACTGAAATGGATACATAAACTTTTCTGAAATGTTTGTGTTATAGTTGATTCCAGAGAATAAGTCTGCAGCTATTTTTTTGTTCTGATACCATTCACTGCTCCCTTGTTCCACCCTCAACCACTGTTGTCCTTCTGGTCTGCAGTTTTAAAAGCAAAAGGCAAACTTGCAGAGCGGTGGTTGATATCAATGGTGCTCACGTGCTGTTTTTGCTTTTTTCCCAGAAATTCTTCTAGCTGTCCTGATGGGCTAGCAATAACAGAAATTCTTGTCATATTAAATACAAACACCTCTCAAGCGAATTTTGCAGACGGATAGGAAAAACTTTGAAGAAAATATGGAATTTTTTTCAGTCTGTGCATTTTTGTGTGAATGTAATTAGTGTGTGTATAGCATAATCACATCCCCCAAAAGCCTATAATTTTTCATTCTACTTTGCAGCAACTCTATAGAAAGAAACCAGGATTGGCTGTTACATGTGCAAAGGTACCTCAGAATATGGACAAGAATAGATACAAAGATGTTCTACCTTGTGAGTCTAAAGTACAGTTTCTGCCTATTTTGCTTTTTAAAGCTCCTATATTGAACTTGCTGATTAAAGATTTCATTATATAATTGAAGTCATGTAATTGGTCATTTTATTTTGTAAAAGGTAATTTATTCTGTTTGTACTCTGCTGTTTGTGTTTCTGCAAGTCCTCAGGGTTTTTTTTAACTTAATAGAGGGGAAGTATGTCTCTTAATTGCTAATTTTATTCCCTCTTTCTTGTGTGTGTGCAGATGATGCCACAAGGATAATATTGCAAGGAGATGAAGATTACATTAATGCAAATTACGTGAATGTAAGTCGTACAGAGACCTGCATTTACTCACTTTCTATATTACTAAAGCAGAAAAAATTTGGCTTTTTTAGAGAATAAGGCTATTTTGTTTTAATTTGGTGGATTCATAAATGTGAAAGATATAAAATTTCATAACCTAAAAAATAGTGTCTGTTGTGCCACAGGTGACCACCCTAATACACAGTGGGTGCTACCATGTAGTGATATACTGTGACATGTGCAGAGTCTTTAACCAGTAAAAATTGTTTTATTTTTTCATATACTTCACATGCTGAGGTTGTCTCTGTAAAACTAAGCCTTTTTCTTTCTAGAACCACTTATGCCTAATAGCTATGCTATGAAGGATCCAGAAAATAAACTAGAGCCTTGATTTCCTTAATCAATCAAGTGTAGGCTGGGAGGTATATACCCTGCTGTCATTCCTTACTAAATGTTAAAGAAAATTTAGAAAGCTTTGCAGTTTCAAGTTTTCAAGTACATTTTCACTATTAATCTTTTGCTCATAGTTCAGCATGAAGGACTATAGAATTTGTGCTTTACATCTGTTCTAAATTAATGATTTAAAAGTTTTTCACAAAAGAAATTGTAATCTTGATTGTCTTTTTACTTAGCTTTTTGCCTTAATCTTCCCTCAAAGCTTCTTATTTGAATGAAATGCAAAAGTTAAAAAAGTACCTGAGCGGTGAGAGCGAGCTTATCATAGAGTTTTTCTTTCCCTCTGCAGATGGAAATTCCTTCTGCTGGCATTGTGAACCGGTACATTGCTACTCAGGGGCCTCTTCCACACACATGTGCACACTTCTGGCAAGTAGTCTGGGATCACAAATTATCACTGATCATCATGCTAACAACACTCACTGAACGAGGACGGGTAAGTGCTCAGGTCCTTTGTATGCTGAAAAATGTACTGTACCTTTGAACTTTTTTCCATTGTTATGGTTAAATAACCCTAAAAGAGGCCAACTTAATCTGTTGAATTATTCTTCTGAGGGACAGGCTTTCTGAATTACTCAGAGCAGATAATCCTCAATTTGCTTTTTGCTATGCTGCCTTGCAAACAAACCAGCTGTCTGAAAAACAGAAATCACCGCATTCACTCTTGTGCTGATCAGACAGGTACCACATGCTGTTGTTTTTCTCCATGAGCATTGGCCTCCATGTGACAGTTTCTCTCCAAAAGATTCAGAAAATGTCTGGAAGCATTGAGTGGGTTGGGCAAACCTTGTAGTCTAGCTTTAAAAAGGAGTCTGACTTTGAGATATTTACTAGTGGTCAGACTTGAGCTTGCTTTTTATTTACATCTCAGGTTCCTTCCTAGAATTGCTCTGATAATTATTTTAATTATGTTTGGATAAATTCTGTCTCTCCTTGAATTTTGGAACAGCACAGTGAAAATCTGATGTGTTTTGATTTAACTTGTCTTTTGTAGTTTTAAAGATTAAGTTTTTAGATTAAATGGGAAGGTATTGGTTTTAAAATTTTAGAAGCTGAAAACTCAACAATTGGATTTTTTAAGAGGTGGAAAAGGTGGTGACTCCTGTATGCCTTCACTGTAGCCTTTATATGTATTTCATATGTGATCTGTCCTACATTATCAAATTTATCTGGCATCCCAGTCAAAACCCAGTGTTTTTAGAAAGCAAGGAAGTGAGGTTTTTTTTTAGGTCTTAAACAGCATAAATATTGAGATATAAGGAAGTAGAGTTAAGCAACAATCAGGTTTTAACCACAGTCACATTATGTAGCTGCTCATAGAAGCTGACAATATTGAACATCACCTGACACAGAGATGCTCCCTGCATCTTTTGATTGTATTGGTGTATTAATTTCTTTGTATTGAGGAGGAACACAGATGAATAATAGTCTGGAGTTCATACAGTTAGTTGGAAACTTCAAGGCAATTGTTGATAGCTTCTAATCATCCTGCTGGTACCTTTGCACACCAGACACATTTATGAGTTTTGTTTGCTTTCAGAAGTTATTTAGATTTGCCCACTTTGTGGGTGAACTTGCAGGCATAGAAAAAGATGTATACTCTTGTCAAGAATATCCCCAGTGGCAAATGCCAAACATTTTCCTAGTCCCTGAAGGTTTTACATTCCAGACTATCTCTTTCATGGTATTAAGATTTGTATGATAGGATTTTTTTTTCTCCTCAGTAATGTTCATTTTTTTCAGAAATGAATACATTATTTTGGCTTAAATTTGAAGGGGAAAGTAGTTAAGATAAATTACCACCGTAAAACTTTCAGGCATAATAGTTATAATTTGGATTTGAAACCTGTGAAAATTGAGCTCTATTAAAGACAAAATCAAGAAATTTTAGTTTTCCAAAAATTCCAGCTCGTGTTACTCTATCAATTTAAAAGTTACATTCTAAAACAACTTTGAACTTTGTGCAGGTTGCAGTGTCACTTCAAAATTTTAATAATTTCCACAGGTGGAGATTCCACATTCTCAGAGGGCTTTTTGTTTCTGTGCTTGTCCTTCTTTGTGGATTTTTTTTGCCAACATCTAGTCAGAATTTCCCTTATAGCTTCTTTACGGTCCTCTCTTATCCTTCCGTTGTTCACTTTGAATAAAAGTGTGGCTTTGCCTTTGCTGTAACCTGTTATTAGATGGCTAAAGTTAGTTTGACATTTAACCCCTGCACTTCTTTTCTTAAGACAGAATAAATGCATCTTTATTCTCCCACATTATGCCTTGAGAAGTCATTCAGGCAATTACAGACAAGCGGCAAGGTATCACACATCCAATTTACCTGAATATTTATTATAAATCGCTAAAACAAGTTTATGGAGAACTTAGCCTATTTTGTCCTGTTATTTTTCAGTTTAGATGGGAAAAAGTCTAACCAGCAAACTAAAACAGATTTTGTACCATTCCTTGAATTCCCTGAACGACAACACAACAGGGAAGGCTGGAAATGGAAGGGCTGATAAACAACAGTCTTGACATGTGCCTAATTTCACTTACAGACCAAATGTCATCAGTATTGGCCTGATCCACCAGATGTAATGGAATATGGCTGCTTCCGTGTCAGGTGCCACTCTGAAGACTGCACAATTGCTTATGTTGTCAGAGAAATGGTCATTACCAATGTTGAGGTAAATGCTCATTGCCTTTAATTATCCCCAGACAAGCTGAATGAACACATTTGTAGATTGGGTAAATAAAGACTCTGTTTTTGGCAATGTAAATGTCTATATCGCTGTGTGTGGATATGATGTGTGTCTGTATACACACAGACTCATACATTTTTAAAAATAGAATATGTGATTATTATATGGATCAACATAGTAATAATTATTTCTTTAGAGCTTCTTCAAAGACACACTTTATGAAGTTCTATAATACATTATGCTGTACAGGTACTACAATAAGCATCATAAGGAAGTTTAGTGTTTTTCTTTAAACAGTTTTGCAATCACTGACTCTTCATAAGTACTTTGATTTATAAAGAGAGTTCTTTTCCTAAGTAACTCTGCTCTTTCAAGGATGAAATATGGGTCACTTTGTTAATAGCACATGCAGGTAGAACAGCTAATAAAGAAGTGAAGCATAACAAAGTTGTTTTGAGAGAACATGCAGAATCTCACCCGTTCCTTTACATTTTCTTTAGTCAGATTTTAAAAAAGAAAAAAGTCCATATGCATCTCAATTGAAATGTGTTCAATTTATGAAGAATACTTTTATTCCATAACCCCTAATACTTTCATGCTAATGTCTAGGGAGTTAGAAAGCAAAGAGAAGGCAAAACACAGCATATTATCTTGTATTGTGAAGTCTGTGTTCAGGTCACATCTGGATTTCCCACAACCTGAATTGTAGGGGTTGAAGTTTGGTTTTTGTTTCTGAGTTGACCTGCATTTCTTATACGTTTCCCTTCTTCCCTTCTTCCCTCTTTTCCCAAATTCCATGGTCACAGGTATTTTCTACAAAGATGAAGGATTTATGCTATCATAAGATGTATAAGAAATCACTGTATACTGACCAAAGGCTAACTTTTAGTCAGTCTTTTAAACTTCTGTATAGTTAAGCTGCTTTTACTGTTACCAGAATGGCTAGTAGTAATAGTAAGTAGTAGGCAATGAAAAGGCAATATCTGTTTTAAAATATAATATTTAATATGTGTTCTTACAGCAAGATGACCAATCCTTTACTCTCATACATTTATAAGTTGATATTCTCTCACTTGACATTGCATCCAAATTTGCTTTAATGTGATTAAGCTTTCCTTTGCAGTCATAAACACGTGAGGTGTCAGATGTCAGTACTTAAAGGTTTTTCAGTTAGGACAGTTTACACTACTTCTGTTTCTAGATATGAGAAACCTCCCATCAGGGAGCAGCATGGTATTTGTTTCTGTACTTTGGCCAATTACTCTGTAAGTAATAAACCTGAATGTCAGCACAGAAGAAATTATCCTCATAAAAGTAGCCTTGCAACTATATATACCCAAAGTTTTAGTAGTTTTTACTCAAATTATTTATTTGTAACCTTTCTAAATCTCTTTAAATGAAGAAAGGTTTATTTCCTGCCTTTTCTTTCTAAGACCAAGATTGAAAGCTATATGGTAGCACTAAGTTTGGGGGTTTTTGGGGTTGGTTGAGGCTTTTTATTTTTTAAAAAAAGCTTCAGAGCACTTTGCGGACCAGAACAAACAGACCAAAGGAAAGAAATCATGTAGTGAGAGTGCAGAGTTAATCCACAGTGCACTGTTTTGCAAATTGAGATACGTGTTTCTTTATGATCCTTGACAGAATAGCATAAGAGGCCTGAAATAAATTTTCATTGTTTCTTTTGAGATAAATGCCATGCAGTATATGATTGGCTATTAAATCTCACTGGTTCTGAAACATAAAGAACCAAATAACAAAAGTAAGTGAGAAATGTGATGGAAAGTGTGTACAGCAGCATAACATAATGTGTGAACATCACATAATGTGTAAACAGTTGTCCAAGAAATGACAAATGCCACTTGCTAGAGTATTTACTCTTTAGAAACTGGGCTTTACCCAGATAATTCAGACTCAGCATTCAAGGTATGTTTGTGAAGCTCAGTGACAAAGAGCTTACCTTTTCCTGCTTAGAAGATAAAAAGACCATTTCAGGGTTCATGTAGTTCTACATTGTGATTTTTTTTTTTGTCTCATTATTGAAGATTATGTTATAACTTCTGTGAAAAAGGACATTAACTGAAACATTGAAATGCAAAATCAATTGCTTAGTTTTTAACATAAGTAAGAATTAAGGTGACATTTCAAGTTTAAATTTCCTACTTTCTATATGATTATTATGATTCTGTGTGTTGATTTTTCTGAAGAGCACACAAATCTTTTATTAATGAGGGAGAGTCTTTTAAGGAGAATGAAACAAGGAAGTTTGCCTTTTGATGTAATTATAATGATCAAGGCTGCAAACTGCAGAAGGATGAAGACTGGATGTTTTTGTGGCTGAAGGTCTTGACAGTACAGCTGTATTGCAAGTGTATTTGAATCACTACCTGTGACAGCCGTACTCTTTGTCAGGAATTTCAGTCCCAATGACAGACTCGTTGGAAAAGATCATGTGCTTCTGAGCAAAACCTAGGATGTTAGCTAATCACAATGAAGCTGCTTCTGCAGTTAGGTGTCGTGGATTTGCCCAGGAGGGGTAAGGACGAGTACATAGTTTTGTTAGAGGTTTTTTTGCTGAACAGCTTTGCTGTAATGACAGCGAAGAAGCACAATAGCAAAGAGCTGGTGATGTCTTACACCTCTGTAGCTCCTTACTAAGTAAATGTGGATCAATGCCACGAAGAAGCTAAATGTTGGCCAAAGGGCTGGCAATAAACTGGGCAAATTACTGAAGTGTCATGGGAGTCTGTTGTTTGGGCTAATTTTTTTTAATCCATATTTTTTAAACTGATTTGGAGAAATAGCAAATACATTAATTCAATTGAAATTAGTCCACATTAATGCAAACAAAAAAATTCGATAATTTTGGAATAGCAAGGTGTACAAGGTCAAGTTAAGCAAAAATAGCAACCAAGCCATAAGCAGCTGTTGCTGTCTCACTTTCTCTAAGACTCATAAAACAGGACTAATAAAGCCAGATTTTCATGAAGAAAAATTATATATTTATCAGTCAGTAGGATGACTGTCATTGAAAGCCTCAGTGCTAAAAGAAAAAATTGTGGAAAAGATTTAAACTGAGTTGCAGAGAATAGTGGTTTGATTAAAAAGTTGAATATGAGAAGTTACCTCTTATTTTCCATTATCAGGTTTTTATAAAGGAGCAAGATGTGAGAGGAATAGTGTTTAAAAATAAGTATTGCTAACAGAACATGTACTGTAGGGCTAGCTATGGAACCAGTAACTACAATTCTAGCATTTTTTTCATGTAGAAGTGCTAGATTTTAGCAGCTGTGGTGGTTTTTAATGTAAGTTATTTCCATGTGGGGTGTTGTTTGGCTGACTTTTTCTGTATTTAAAAACTGAGTTTCACTAGTCTTGAAGGTAACATGTTTTAAAAAAAGCCAAAAAACCTGCTAAAAATAACTTCAAAAATCTGGACTTCATCAGCGTACTGCTTTGACATTTTCTGCAACAGAGATAAAAACTCAGACATAGAAAAACTAATTCTAACATATACAAATATATTTACTGTTTACATTAGGTTTAAATTGCTAATAAAACATAAAGTGTTTTAAATACTTGTGCATTTTGGAAAGCAAGTGGAAAGCAGAACAGTCAAGTTTCAGCATTTTGAATCATCTCAGAAAAGCTCAACAAAAGAACCAAAACTGATCATGTTAAAACACAAATAGTTGGAAGGCTGCACTGAGGCTTGAGGCATACCTGGAATAATTAACAAACACCTATAATGGTCGCTAAGGACGATTAGGGCACATAACCAAAATTGAAGATGCTTACACCAAAACTAGTAGCTGTGAGGACTAAGTGCATGTTCTCAGTGTATTCTTACTCTGAGTAAGTCTTGTGTAACATACTTTCTGTACCTAATGTCTGTAAACTATTTGACTAAATGCACTTCACTCTATTTGAGCTTGAATTACTGATAAGCAAAAATTAAGTCAGCTCTTTCCTTTGTTCTAAGCTTGTAAAATGACTTCTTGCTTCTACAGATCATTGTCAGGGTTTCTCAGGTATGCCACTGGCTCTTATCCATGTTGTGTAGATTTAAGTTCTTGAAGTACATGGAAAGCAACTGGATATTCAGTCTTGGATAATTTTCAAATTAATCAAGTCTTTTTTTCACTAGGATGCTGTAATTCAAACATCTCTGATTTAAGAGAATCAGCTCAAATTGTTACGTGTAATTGCTGCTTTATCTCATTTCCCTTTTGAAGAGTTTCTGATTGAGCAAGAGCAGATTTTCAAAGGAGGACTTTTTAATGACATTTTCTAGACATATTTTTGTATTTTTTTTTAATCTGTGGCATTTCATAAACATGTGAATGGTAATCATTTGATCAAGGTCAACTTTTTCTTACTTTTGCTGGGTAGCAAAAGGCCATACATGCTTTTTCATGCAGAGATCCTGGTCCTTGTGCATCTTTTGATGACATGGATGGTGGATCCCCATGTAATTTTTATTACTATGAGCTTGGTCATTAACATTAAATTACCTTGTCCATGTGGGCCTTATGCTGTACCTTTTAGTTGTTGAATGCTCAGGCTTTGCTTTTAAGAAGCAAATTATGAGCTGTGTCGTTTTTCTTTTTGTCCCTGTGGACAATTGTAAATTTCTGCACTTGCTTTGACTGCAGAATAAATGTATTCCCTAAGACTCTACTTACTGCATAGGTAGTACTTATTCCATCTTTTGTGTCCTACGAGCCTGTTCCCTGGGAGTGGAACATCCTCAAGTGGGAGAGGAAAACAAGCAGCTGAAGATACTCAAAACAGGTCCTATATTTCAGCAGTTGTGTACATAAGAGAAAAGGGGAAAAACCTTTTGAAGTCACTAGCGTCGCAAAAACATTCCTGTGGGACCACTAGGGAAAGGCCAGCTTTTATTGACTAATGCAGTTATATAGGAGAGTTTTATTTCAGAAGGGTGCCAAATGTTAAGTCTGATACAGGACATAAATTAAATGCAGGTAACAGCTTAACTATTGCAAAATGTGTGGAAAGAATAAAGGACTGTGAAGACTTGTCTCAGTTTGTGAAGATTGACATCCTCACTGCTTGATGCTTCAGCGCTCATGAGCATCTTAGGTCTTTTCCTTCCCACCCTAACCATTAGTTATATCTGTAATATATCAGTTCAGCTCCATCCGAATGCAGAGATGATTGAGTGATTTCATAATCAAAATTAACAAAGAGCTAAACTGAAAGAATTTCTGTGAAACTTGAGGGGTTTTACATATAATTCAAAAATTTAAAAAAAATAATTCTTTGTACAACAGAATCTTTTTAACTAGTTATACTGCTTCTATACAGAAAAGTATTCTCCTGTGGATTATATCGATGTCGCTCATATATGTATAATAAGCTTGTATATATGAATGATATGTATGTATATATACTTTTTTCTAACAGAAACCAGATTTAACAAGTGTTGTAGGCAACTAAATTATACCTGAATCTGTAAGTGTGCACAGACGTATTTACAATAGACTGTATAGCCCCTAAATCCCTGCTATATTGGTTTTGTTCTCAGTGGTTTTGCTGTTCTCAGTTATTTCTTCCAACCAGTTCTAAACTATTGTGTAGTACTCTTATGTTTATGTCTTATAGCATTTTAACTCAGGTGAATCAATTATGTCAAAGTATAATAGGTCAACAGTCAATAAATCAAAATAATTAAAAGGTTTAGATCACATAAGTTAAACTTGATACCTAATTTATTTAGAAAATGTTGTGCCTTATGAATTTTTTCCAAGAATTACATGTCCATATTTCACACTGAATTTTAAAATCACAAACATTCTCTACACCATCTACCTCTTATAGCATTTGCAGAAAACACTTGCTGTGAAAATATTATTTGTATATAGTAAACATGAATACAGGAGTCATACACTGGCCATTTTTTTAAAACTTGGCTGTATTTTAGACAGAACAACAGCACACCGTCACCCATCTTCAGTACGTAGCTTGGCCTGATCATGGTGTTCCTGATGACTCCATGGACTTCTTGGAATTTGTGACATTTATGAGGCCAAAGAGAGTAAAGAATGAGCCAGTTCTTGTTCACTGCAGGTACTTGTGTTTTAAAACTCTGACAATAGATCCTTGAATGAGATGAAAATGTTAAACTGTGCAATATGAGCATTTACTGCTGATGGTGGAATTACTGATGTTATATCTAAAGGATGAGTTTACTTTGTCTCCCTTTATCCTGCAACCTTTTTGTGAAATGGCTTAGTCACATAATTATCACAGATCTGATAATCTGCAATTTAGTTTGTTTTCTGATTTTTATCCTCTACCACTGTTGTAATCTCATTTTGAATGGTACTGCTAAAATTCTTTTCCTGCTGTTCAAGTGTGTGTGTCATAAAAGCAGTTAATTAGATCTTACCTTTTTTAAGACAAAAATATCAAACCTGTACAGTTTGAGCAGTATAATTGTTTAAAAATGCATCTACTTTAGGTGAGGTTTTAGTTTTAATTATATTTTAAAATATAAATAAAACTTTGTAGTAATTATCAGAAAATATTAATGAAGTTGCTGTAAAAGTAAACTTTGTACTCTCTTTGGATTTTACTAGGGTCCTCCTGTAATTTCCAAGGCAGTCCTACTATTAAGACTGTGATATGCATTTGGTGCATTGCAAAAACCTAATTCTCCTGTTGTGTTTCACAGTGCAGGAATCGGTCGCACCGGTGTGTTGGTCACTATGGAAACAGCCATGTGCTTAATTGAAAGGAACCAGCCTGTTTATCCACTGGATATTGTACGGAAAATGCGAGATCAGAGAGCTATGATGGTGCAAACATCAGTAAGTGATGGAGAGGAAGCATCATTTTCTGTACATATACTGGACTTGTCAAGTTATAAAACTGGTCCAAAATTTTCATAAAGGATCTAGTAGTATGAATCTTCAGTTGCCATTATATATCAAACTTCATATCAAACATTATATAGCAAATAAATGTAGCATAATGTAGCATAGTGACAAAGGCTGCTTTGCTAATGAGGTATGTATTTTTCTATTTTTAAAATATTTCTTGCCATGAAAAGATAATTTATTTTGATACATTTTAAGTAATTGGAATGCCCAAAGTCAGACTTGTACTGATCATCTGTTCCTGGCCCTTTGTCTAAATTCTCTGCAAGAAGCTAGAATAATTTTTTGCTTTTTATTCTAGAACAGAACACCATAGGAAGTTATTAACTTGAAGGTAAAATCGAAAGTGTTTGTGGCCTGGTTTGAAAAGAAGGAAGTGGCTTTTCAAAAGGCCACTTTAGAGTAGAAATTCTGTGAGAACATACAGATTTTTTTTTTTTTAGTTTTGCCACTACCCAGTTGGAAAAAACTAAGGGCAAGTTGTGTAGCACCAGTAACGGAAACATGAAAGTAGATGGCAATTTTAAGATAAAAGTGGTACAGCTTGAGTTCATGAGAGTCATTTTTTGTCAGCTTTGGAAATGAGCATGTTAACATTAGAGACGGGTGAAGGATGAGAGATTGTTCTTTCTTTAGGAGAGGCTGGATGACAAGAATTCTGAGTCTGAGTTATCTTGGAGAGCTAAATGCCCTATGAGAAATGAAAGTAAGGGGGTTTAGACACGGAAAGCCAACAATTAAATCGGGCTTTTTTGTCTCATCTTACAAATAAAACGCCTGAAATGCATTGAAATCAAATCCATTTGATCACAAAAAAAAAAGTTAACTTAAAAAGACAAATTCTATTCATTAACAGGTTAATGACTGCAGAAATTAGCATTATGACTAGATGTGGGGATCATCAAAGGGCATAAAAGTGTCAGGATCTGCAGCTGCCGGTGTACCATTAGAGTGCTCAGTGAGCTTGTCCATGCCTGCAGCTGGGACCGGTGTTCATTGCCGCAGGAGTGCACCCCCTGGAAGAGGGTGGGGACTGTGTGGTTGAAAGGGAGTGGTTTGAAGGATGCCCTGCCTGTTCCTTGCTGAAGTGGAAGCTGAGCTGGTGACAAAGGTGGTCATGAGATGAAATATGCTAGCTTCACGTTTAAGGAAGCTGAGTGTTAACTTCTGGAGTTGCACCTGTCTATACCCCTCAGTTTCTAAAATTACCTAAACAAGTTCAAGCTTCAACATTCTAGAAGTGGTCCTCTTCTTGAGAATCAGATGCAAAGACCTGAAGTAAACTTGAGCTTGCCAGAAGACTGAATCCCATTTTTTACAACAGAAATCAGCCAGAATTCCACTCCATACTTTGACATAACTGAAGAATACAGGGAATAGTAATGAATATAGCTACAGTCAGACTCCCAGTGTGGACAACAAATATCTAAAATAGGATTCTTTACCTTGCTTGCTGTGTTACACCGTTTGCTGTCAGCACAATCAGGAAAGGGTTGATCTGTAGCACCAATACTGTGAAACTAAATTCGCTTGTTATTTCTGAAGAAGGCAGGTACTGCTGTTATTTCTGAAGAAGCCAGTGAGCAAATTAGCATTCTATGCTGTAAATTAGACACAGAAGCAAGCACTCAGCTGTGAGAAAACAGAATACCAGAAAGCTGCATGTTAATATTTCAATCTATCCTGGGTGCTCTATCCCATTCCCATGCCTGCGTTCCAGCTAGCCTCACTGCTCATATTTGTGATCCTGCTTAGAGTGTCTGGGAGAGATTATTCAGTTGCAATAAAGGGATTGTTCAGTTTTATAGCCTTGCCTAAAGCATGTTGAGCTGCCCCATGAGGACTGTGTGTGTGCTCCAGCTCTAAGGTGATATGAGTTGCCAGATACATGTTGTGCCAGGGCATACTCAAAAAGAATATGGACTGATCAGAGCTATTACCTGGTCAGTTTAGTGTCTGTTGTTAATCATGTGGAAGCTGTAGTTTCTCAAAGACCAGTAATTTTGTTATCATGAGCAGCAAAAATAGATTAAACCAAAATGATTAAGCTGTAACAAAGTTGGTGTAACTGGCCTTTCATTTAAAAAAAATTAACCAATAAAGAGAAATTAGGTATTGAAGCAATACAGAATACAGTGCTTAGGATGTGCATAATACAAGTAGCCACTAGCTGAGTGAGCAGTAGGAATAAATGCAACAGATAACAGCAAAGAAAACAAGTAGTCAGAGATTGAGTCAGAGGAAGCAGTGGTGAAGTGCTCATTCTTTTATTTGTTCAGTAACTTGATCACACACGTTAACAGAAGTATTGAACACAGAGCTAAATACCACACCTCGCTTGTTCAGGCAGTAGAAATATGGAAATGACAATAACAGTGAAGAGACAAGTCAGGGTAATTAAGAAATAAGAACAAAATGATATTGAAGGTGGGAGTAATTGACTGAAAGGTTGAAAGAAAAGCCAGGAAAATTGCAATGCAGAAAACTCACTTCCACCTTCCTGTTTTCCTTAAGTTTTCCTGTACTTAAAAGAAAATGTATTGTGTTATGTTATGGACAAGAATAGCATTCCAAACCACTGGTATATAAAGGCAACCTAAGGTCCTTCACAGCCCAAATGTTATCTTTTAGCCCTGGTCTTTGGGAGATGGTGGGAGAATATTTGCCGATGCTTCAGAAGTTGATGGAAGCTGACGATACAAGGGCAGCTGGGACAACATTTCAAAGGTGGATAAAGGGATATTAAAAATGTGAAGCTTTACTTCTCTGAATATATGACAGAACTTTGGAGAAAAGGGTTCATTTGGGGGGTTTGACAATAGTGCTTTCAAAGAAGAAGTGAGGATGCTTTGATCTTTGCAAATTCTTTTAAATTTCAATCATCTTGTGTTCTCAGGATTGTGTTAGTCAAAAAAATTTATCAGGCTACCTGGATTTTTAGTTCTGCACTAGTCCTATTGATAATGTCTCCATGTATCACTTTTTAGGACGAGGCTTACAGGCTAATTGTTTTTAACAAATAGCTACATTACAAGGTCGTGGAAGAGATAGTCTTTGTAGTAGTATAATGCAAAAAATAAACTCTGATTTGTGAAGGCTTTAAGATCTAATTGAGATCAAAATATTAGGTGAAACAAGAATTAATGTGGCTGCTGATCTTCAAAGATATTAATTTGAAAGATATTGATCCCCTTCTGTTACAAAAGGAGATATGTGGTCTGATAAAAAATTGAAAATAAAGTGACTCCTTCTGCAGTACTGTAGGTTGTTTGGGGGAAAAAAAAAAAAAAAGAGTTCAGTTAGGTAATTGCACCTATAGATCCTATATGTCAACTTTAAATATGCCCAGTAATATGTAGCTGCAGGATTGGCAAGCTCAGAATACTTGTAATAATCAGATAACTACCACCGCCACCCTCCCACCCCCCACCAAAATAGATGAGATGTATAAAGAAGGTAAATATCATGTTAAATTTAGTCAAAAGTCATGCATAGTTTTTACAAATAATTCCTTTTCCATGAAAATTAAGCATGTATTATTTTAGTTTGGGGAACTATATTTTCCTTGGTGTGTGATTTTTTAATGCTTGTCCTTCAAGGAAGAGTAAATGTCAGCTTTGTTTACTGCAAACACAGACAGAAGAGTAGAATTTTCTCCTCCCATCCTTGTAGCTCCTCTCCTGTCATTGCTCAGGAAAAAAGGAAGCTGTGGAACTGTTAGTCCTATTGAATAATACTGTCTAATCAGCAGTTTAACTGAACATCCATAAATGTTTTTGTGTTTTCTTTCCTCCACAGAGTCAATACAAATTTGTTTGTGAAGCTATTCTTCGTGTTTACAAAGAAGGATTGGTTCGACCACTGGATTCCAGTTAGCACAGCAGTGAAGGATTTTTTTTTTTCCCTAAAAAACCTGCTCTTTAAGTAAAGCAAGGGCTTGTTTCTGAAAGCAACTAGAACGGACTAGAAGCCCATGAAAAGACAGATGAGAACATTTGAACCGTGGCACTTTAAATTTCTCAAGAAGATTGCTAAATCATGTACAGTATAACAAAGTCACATAGATAAATATATGACAGCAATTGTGTGTAATATGCTTTATTCACATAGACAACCATAAACAATCATGGAAACCTTAACACATATCTTTTACTGCCTTAAAACACCCTTTACTTTGGAAGTTACAAAGTTCCTTGTTTTTCCTTTGAAATAGCAAAAGGAAACTCCTATTATTGAAATTATACTCCCTAAGAAGGTATTTAATATATTTGTATCATATGAAAGCTCATTGAATATTTGTAAATTTCTTATTGGGATACTAAATATCCATGGAACTGTAACCTTGACTAAAAGGCTGACAAAGAGTTTAAAGGCTAATGCATAACTACTGTACACTGAGCTGGAGAAATTTAGTATTCAGTTACCATAAATCTATTAGTGAGTATGCCAGCTGTTATAATATGCTGCTTACAAATCACATCCACTGTATGTGATGTGAAAATAATGCTGCAGTTAGGCATTTTGCAGATGGTACAGTCTACATCTCTTGTTGATCAATTTTAGTTGCAACTTGCCCTTTTGACAGTGACCTACTTCTTACAGTTTTAGTTATTGCACCCCTTTTCTTCTGTTTCTGCAGTCCATCTCCTTTATACTTTTCACTGCTGTTTCTGTATGTGGACTGAAAACATTTTAAGTTAAAATGAGGTTTAATTCTCTGTCATGTTTGTTTCCATGTGTATTTATGAGTTCTCAGATGTAAATGTGGATTAATGTTGCACACAAGTACTAGACTTTTGACTTACTGTATATGCAAAGTAGTCTAATCCAATACTGGAAGAAAAACTACTACTGAACCCATCAAATATGTTGCTGCTATTTCAAGGTGTGAAGCTTACAAAGGCACAGGTGTTGCTAGTGTTCAGATGGCGATAAAATGTTGACTTGCTGTTCTCCAGCAAAGCGCTCTTATCCAGCAAAACACAACTCCCTTTTGCAAGAGTTCTCCAGATTTACTGTGTTTCTTGCTTATACAGAAATGCAGTTAAATTCACCTGAAGATTTACATGGAAAGAAAGAATGAATTTGTACTTTGATGAATAATTCACCCTAAGGTACACTGGTCTCTATTTCATTTCAGATGGGAGAATTGGACTTTCTGAACAGTATAACCACATTTGTATAATGTTAAATTATTTTGTGTGTGCTTTTTGATTAACCTGAGATAGTTATTAATTTTTAATAGTGTTTAAAAATATTCTAAGGGACTGTTTAAAACTCTGTTATTTAAAAAATTAGTCCTAAATAGGGAAAAATTTTTATGGGGCATATTAGCCAGATGTTTATATGTATAAAAGTGAAAATCAGATAATTTTTTTTTCAGAGAGATATATATATGCACACACATTTTCAGATGTATTTTAGAATTATGGTTTGTATTATGGATATTACCATTTATAGCTGGAGTTTCATTATAGAAACTATCACAGCTGTACAATATGCATCTCTCATGTCACTGGAAGACTATGTTTTTTTCCCCCAGGAGGCAACCAGAAAGTGCACGTAGGATGAGTTAAATTGCTGATTTGTCTTTTGCAGGCTTGGTCCTTTCTCCAAGATTACATTTTTAGCTATAGCTGAAGAAGATATCTGGTTACTGTTTATTATCAAAAGAGTTTTAATTGAGATGTGCAGAGTAGTTGGCAACGTGGAAACCTTCTTGGCTTTGTTAGGTTGAATGGTGAATAGGTTTGTGCTCATCTTTACATAGTGCATTCCAAATTTCACTTTGACTGGAATTTTCTGTAATATACAAATCATTATCATCTTGCTTGATTGGACGTAGATTAAAAAACAAAAGACTGGTTCGCTTTTATCTTGCTAAATTGTGTCAGGTAGCTCAACCAGTCTGTGACTGAATGTAAAAAGATAATGGACATACACATATTACTTGGGAAGCTTTGTTATGTGTGTGCCTGTCTGTTAAAACATCTCCTTTTTTTTTTTTTTTAAGTTTTCCTCTGCCCAGGTTTCAGAGTCATCCCTTGCAGTTGGCATGACTTGCATTTAATTTTTAGTTTGTCAAGAAGTGAAAAAAGGCAAGAAAATAAATTGTAAGCAAATATTCAGAGCATCTTTTTGACATCCGTGTCTTTCATGGAAGTACTCATGTTTTCTTTGTGTTCAAGGTTATTCCTGTATTCCATTTGCTATTTATGTTTCTTCATGTTTAATATGTACTTACCAAAGCACTGTAAATGTATTTCTTGTATAACTCCAGTCTCAAGATACGTGGTATAGGCTTGACTTGTATGTGTGCATTTAAATGATGACTGTCATATTGTGACAACAAATGCTGCTCTTCTTTTGGTAAACTTGGATGGGTTTGGTAATAACATTGGGGAGCTCTTGGCTTTTAATAACTTGTTTGAAATTGCTGGTCCCAGGGAGAATACTCAAAGCTATATAAATAGTAATCTTTATAAGTTTTTTGGTTTTTTTTGTTTTGTTTTTTTTTTAAATACCTAAGAGGAAATATTAACTACACAAGTATCTTGTACATTGTGTCCATCTTTATTTCAGTCTTGCTGGGTTTTGCACATGTACCTGTAGGATCCATATGGGAGAATTGAAGGGGTTTGGTCTCTCTGTGTAATGTGTGATGACTTTGCACTGAATGAAGTATGCTTTAGATCTGATCTTGCAATGAAAGCATAATTACGAAAACAACTTTCTGCCGGCTTTTGTTTTCACAAAAATTAAGAAGTCACGAAATATTGACCAAACTGGGGGGATTTTGGTGGGAGTTAAAACTTGTGAGCACAAAGTTTTTAATTGTCGAGCAGTTGGAAAGTGGTAGAAGATGATGTGAAGAAAAGATTCTGTATAACCTTCATAAACATTTACCCTTGATTTTTCCTGTGCTGGCATGGTCATGACAATAAGTATTCAAAATGTCTGGTGTGGTGGTGGTGGATGAAGAGGGAGCAATAAACCCTTGACGTTTTCATCACTGTGAAATACACTAACATTTATTTCTACAGAATTAAACAAATTTAACTTGGTGGCTTTATATTTCATGTGGAAGTAACTAAACTGCCTATTCAGCATGTCTTCAGAAATCTCACAGGGAAACACTTCTGAGATAGAGGTGAAAGGGACAGATTTTGCTGTTTGTTAAAAATAAGAAAAACAATGCCCTAAAACATGAATGCCTTTTGTGTTACCAGATGTATGGAATACAAGTCATTAAAATAGAACCAAACCTTGAATAGTAGTGATGTCTTACAAAAAAAAATTTAAAAATTGTAATCTAGGGGTTTGCTTTTAACTGTCATGTTTTTTAGGTGTTGATACTAAATTATATGCAGTCAAAATGTACCCACAAATTCAGCAATAAGTCTTCATATACACTCAATTTTTTAACTGTTGGTTTTCCTTTTTCCCCTCATATTTCCTACTATGCAGTACTTGGTTAAATATATATGTATTTTAAAAGAACTCTAGTTCTGAACTATATAATGAACTTTGTATTGGCTTTATTACAAGTATAGTATGATACTTTTTTCCAAAAAAGCTCTTCCCTGTATACGGTATTCTTATGTGAGACTAAATGCATAAATGTTAAAAATAGATGCACATGATTCGTAATCAGTCAATTATAATTTAAACATAGTTGTTTCAGTGATAATGGCTTTATTTTTCTATCCTGAAATGTAGCATTTAAGTGCAAGTTTATTTAATTCTTTCAGCCTTTCCAGAAAACATGTGCTGGGAAATGTTTGTATTTTGATTAGTAACCTGCAACCAGTCTACTTGGTTAAAAGCATTTCTTAATTGAAGCTATATAGAAGGTAAAGTTTTCATTAAATATTTTGTTCAAAGGCCAAGTAAATGATTAATTCATTATATAAAACAATGTTTTGATTATATGGGTTTCTTGCATTTAAATTCTGACACTGATAGCGCTCAGCCATCTCAGATGGCTGTCTGTTTTAACTGTAGATTACATTAACAGTTTAAATATACCAGTCTAATGCAATGTAATTTAGTTTTAGTGTACTTTAACACTGTATAAGTTTCAAACAGTAGCATCTGCAATCACTGAAGCCTGTCATTCTAAAGAAAAAGTAAGTTTCTCTGAATCAAAAGAAAAAGTACCACATATCAATGGGTTTAACCATTTTTCATCTCAGACTAACTCTGTGACAGTAGCATTCTTACCACTCATGTAAAGGGCAAATGTTGAGGGTCAGCAATATTATGGGAAAAACAAATTGTATGGTCTGTAAGAGACCAGGAAATATTATTATCTTTTTTTTTTTTTCTTTTTTTTTTTAAGACAAATTCATCTTGAGAGGGGACATTTTCTTGCAAACTACTTGGATAAGAGTACTCTTTGTGCTTTATTTTGGGTTTAGTTGCAGGTTAATCTTTAATTAAAGTTCTATGTAAAATATTAGAGTGTTTATTTTAACAGACATTTGTGAAACACTTCAGGTTACTGTTAACTGTTTAACTTCTGTTTACTTGACTTATATGATTTTGTTTCTTGAAATGTCATTGTTTTGCCTTATAAAATGACTTTGAGGTTTCCTGCAAGTGTGAAATTGGCTTTGTCTCAGACAGGCAAAGTGATGTTACTGTTGCTTAAGAAAGGATGGGTTTTTTTCACCTGCTGAAGGGGCTGTGTGGTGTTCAGACCAGTCTCAACTGATCTCTTTTCTAAACAGTGCTGCTAGCAGTGGTCAAAATCATAAAAATATATGGAAAAGCATGTAAGAAATGTTTTCCTCAGGGCAGATAAGACCTGGGTTTAACTTAAATATAAAAAGGAAAAAAAAAATCAAACATTGTGAACATGGAAATGCTTTTAACAGATAAAGTAGGGGTGGGAAATATATGATTTTTTACTCTTTTTCCTTTGAAACACTTCTGTGTTTTAAACACATAATTTCTCTTGGAACAATTCCTTTAGTAAAGATCCACACTGTTGGTCATGGGATTTAATTTTTGTCAAACTCACCTAGAAAATGATTTTAAGTGGAACATTTTCTTCATCTACTGGTTTGTGCTCTTAAGTAACATTAAAAAAAAAAATCTCTTAAATATTTTCCTCTTAAAAACTATATTGTCTGTTTTCATTTGATGTCTTTTCCTGAGACATAAATGAAACCTGCATTTGGCTGGGTAACTGTTGAGGTTGCCCTGCATGGTTAAGCAGAGGAAGATGCTTTGTTAGGGCTATTAGACCCCTTACCTAATATCAGTTACCAACTTCAGCCAGACTAGCATCATATTTCTCTCAGCCTTTTGCAGAATAAACATTTTATAAATAGTCCTTGGAGCTTGGTCTCAGAAGCATCAGGAAGTAGTCTTGCGCCAAGCTAGAATTTATGCTTTAAAATTAAAAAAAAAAAAAGAAAAAAAAAAAAGAAAAAAAAAAAAAGTTAAAATCTAAATCTTCAAGTAAGGAATGACTATGTACCAAATTCTGTACAAAACATACTTTTTTAAAGTAAAGGAAAAGTAGTTTTTCTGACAAGATGCAAAAGTTAGCTGCTAGAAGTGCCTTCTTAGCTGTGGGTGCAGCTTACCTAGTCATAAAAGCAAATTGGCCCTCAGCTAGTGTGCAGTATGGCCACTAAAGCACAGAAAGTGCATCATCAGCCCAAATGCCTCATTATTTGTCAACTTTCTTGCACATGGTTGGTTGCAATCCTGATTCAGGAAGTAAGGAAAAAGGGCTGCCTTCCTTTGGAAAAGAGACTGAAATATCCTGCACAGTAAATCTACAGCCTGTATTGATCTTAGTGGGCTGTACTTGTACTATCTAACCTCAGCAGTCTAGTTCAAAGTGAGATCAGGTTTACTTACATGGGTTTGCAAGGATATCAAAGCACCTCATTCCAAAAAACCAAAAATCTCAGCCCAGTGGTGTTAATTGCAGTGGACTTGACTTGCTTCAGTTAAGCAGCAGGTGAGTGTGGCAGCACTTGGGTTAGTCCTGATCAGTGCCCTTCTAATTCAGAGCTTTGCACACGATTGAAAGCTTGGGGTTTAGCAGGATCTGAATTACTGTCTGTAGAAATTAGGTGGGGAATTAGTATATGCACTCAAATGTAAATCTCTCTAATCCCAGTTTTGCAAAATAAATGGTGAGGATCAGTGCTTACATTCCAGTAACCTGTGCAGTGAGCGCTAAGCATAATTTATTTAGGTTTTCACACTTCATTGTGTAACCTTAATAGAGAAATACAAGGTGTATATGAGGACAGCCCTATAAAAGCTTTAAAAATCTGCCTGCCATTCATTCTCACAAATGATGTAATGGTTAAAATTGACCTTGATTGCAACTGATATGGAAATGTGTTTATAGTACTGGAATAAATTGCTTAGCAGTTGGGAAAGCCGAAGTTGTTTGGGTTTTTTTGCAAGTTTTGAAGAAAATTTCACTATTCTAGTCACTAAGCTTGTATTTTCATGTAAGTTCAGTTAGCATTTTTGTCAGAGTTTTGTCAGCAAAATCTTGAAAGGTATCCATTTAGGGACTCTGGCTGGAGGTTTTTAAATTTTCTTTTTCTTTTCCTGTAGCACTCTATAGTTTCTTCTAAGATCTTAGGTGCCAGTGCAGTAAAGGAATAAAACAATGTATTTGATGTATTTGGAAGGTAAGGAAAGATATTATTTTGTACCCTATGCTGTACTTTTAAATAATTTGAATTGTAAATTGATGTTGATATTACAAAGTTTAATTTATTGTTTAAAAGTGTAGACACCTCTTGAATGTATAATTTTTCTTTTTTATTTTTATAGGAATAAAGGGTTGGTTAATGTTTTCAGTAAAGCTTTCTTGGGGTTTGGAACTGTTTTGAACAAAAATATAGCCACCATTTTATGCATATTGGTTATACAGCTAATGGTGAAATAAAACATTTTTGGCTATATGGTTTTACTGTGGCTTATTCAAAAAGCAAATAAGAATTCCATTAAAAAGTTAGTGGCCTTTTTGATAGGAAAGGCATCATCTAAGAAATCACACATGGATCCAGCTAGAATTTTATCTAAGGAATATATGGGAAATGTCTGGTCTATATACCACAGTAAAAAAAAAGGAAACAAGCAAGTCACGAA